CAAAAGAAGCCCGGCCCCCGCCCGCCCGCGCCCGCCCGCTCCGCCTCCTCCCCGCGGACGAGGATGTGAGGAGCAGACGCAGCCACAGCCGCCCGCAGCGCCGCCGCTTCTCCTGTTCCCCAGCGCCTCCTGGCCGGATGTTTCCAGAGAACTTGGCCGAGGGGGAGCCGCGGATGAGAGGATGTGAGTGACGCCGGGCCGCGGGCGGGCGGCGGGGTTTGCCGGGTGCGGTGACGCCGCTGGGAACTCGACGTGGCCGGGTGGCAGGAAATCGAGGCTTGGCAGCTGCGGGGCGGCGGGAGCCGGGCTTCTGGACCCGACCGGGGTGCGGATCCCGCACGACCCTCGCCCCGGCCTCTCGCGGGCACTCCGGAGGGAGTCCGGGGTCTCCGGGGGGCGGGGGGCGCGGCTCAGAGGTAGACTGTGGGGACTGACCTGGCGGGGCTGCGCGCCAGGGGTCCCACAACAGGACCCCAGGAGGCCTGTGCCGGCCTGTCCCTACGCCAGGGGCCCTGCTGCCCCTTTAGCAACGGTGAGGGAAATTGAGGCCAGAGGGCTGCCAGGCACCTTTCAGAAGCTCCCTGACCTGGTCTGAGCCCCATGCTTTCAGGAAGGGCTGGGCACCTACCCCCGCTGTCCCTGGGAGCGGACCTGGGGCACCCAGCGCCGCCCAGCGCCTGCCGCGCTATTTATTGGGTTTGAGGTGTCAACCTCCCAGGGTCGGGCCAGCCCTGGGCCCGGGCCCCTCCCACTCCGCACCTCCTCCCGCTCCCTGCCTTCCCCCTGGCCTAACTGACGCGTTTGCCTGGGTTCTCTTGGCCCAGGCTGGGGAAATATAAATAAACGCAGGCTCCATCGCCAGGTTCTGGAAGCAGCAGCTGCTGCTGCTGCGGGCGCAGGGAAAGGTCAGGGGCTGAGTTACACTTGATCCCAGGCCCCCCCACCCCCACCCCCGGCCTGTCCTTGAGGAACCCAGGGAGCTCTGGAGAGCCACGTGGCCTCCGTGGCTGCTGCAGGCTGGCATTGGCCTGTGTGCTCAGTGTCACCCCTGCTGTGGAGCTCAGAGGGGTGTCCTGAGCAACCTCCCAGTCCTGGGCTCCGGGTGAGGCGGTGTGACTCCAAGCCCTGGTGTGCCCCATGCTGGGGACAGGAAAGGAACTCTGCCTGGACACCCCGACTAGTCCGTGGTGGCTGTGCAGACGGTGGTCTCCTGGCCACTGTGGGCAGTTTGCGTGTCTGCCGCTCTGCTGTTGGGGCATCTGGGGCGGCCGCTGACCTTGCTTGAATGAATGGACGGTGAGACAGAGCGAGCGCCTCACCCACGCCCTGCCCGGGGCAGCCCCAGCCCGCTCGGCTCCGCTTGGTTCGAGGAAAATGGCCTGCGACGTGGTTACGGGAAATCTTTCATTAAAGCCATTAGCCGTGCACTCTCCGGGGCTCCAGGCCCCGCCTTCCCAGCAACGTGATTCAGCCTTCGGGCTCCATCCCCACCAGCAGGCCGCCCAAGGCCTTAGCAAAGGGAGCTGGCCCCACCTGCGGGCCACCTGGCCGCCGGGTCCCACTGCCCAGGCCTCGAGCCCCCACCCCGGTGCTGCCTGATTCTCTGCCTTAGACAGGAGGGGGGCGGGGTGCCCCTGGGCTGAGCTGAGGGGAGTCCGCGGCCCAGATGGGTGTGGGGTGCCGTCCACCACCTCTGGGGTCTGAGGCCTCACAGCCACCCAACCAGGATGGGGGTCCCCGAGTCCGGTGTGGGCCTCCAGTTGTCCGAAGGGAGCTTTGGTCCTGGTGGTGCCCCAGGAGCCCAGGTCCCACACCAGCGCCCGTCCCGCCCTCCGCCCTCTGTGGTCCAGCCCCGCTCCCTGGGCCATCGTGTGGCCGGAACGCAGCCTCATCTCTAAGCCCTGTGCAGTTGGCCAGTGTCAGGGCTGGGGTCAGCAGCTATCCTGCCGGGTGGAGGGGGCAGCTGGCCAGGCGGCCCAGTGTGTCCAGGGCCCAGATAGTGGCCCTGGTGAGGGTCCCTCTGCCTGTCATCCTGCTTGTTCCTGGGGCAGGCTTTTCCCTTCCACCCCAGCACGGAGCCGGGTGACCGGGAGCTGGACCCCAGGGCCGAACCCCCCGCCGTCCCTGCCTCCCTGGCCACGGGGCTCAGGACCCAGCCCCCGTGAGCTCTAGTCTGCGTGCGTCCCCCAGGGCCTGGCCTTGCCGGCGTCCTCACGCTGTCCCCGCCCGCAGGCCTCCTGGAGCACGGCCGGAACTGGTCGGCCATCGCCCGCATGGTGGGTTCCAAGACCGTGTCGCAGTGTAAGAACTTCTACTTCAACTACAAGAAGCGGCAGAACCTCGATGACATCCTGCAGCAGCACAAGCTGAAGATGGTGAGTCCCCCGGCCCCACGCGCCCGCCCTCAGGTCCCAGTGCCCAGGGCTGCCTCTGACGGGATGACGGCCCCCCCGGGCCCCCCACGCCTGCCCGCCCGCACCAGCAGCTCAGGTCGTGGTGGGCCCGGCTCTGACTCAGCCAGGAATCCTGGCCGTCAGCGGCTTGGAATGAAGACTCTCGGCAGACGAGCACGCAGCTCCCGCCCCGCCTCGCGGGTCAGGGCCACGGGAGAAGCATGGCTGGGGAGCGGGGCCTCGCCCTGCCGGGCTGAGCCGGAGTGGAGCGGTCTGCCTGGAAGCCGGCTTCTGCACAGCGGCTGCTGGGGGCTGGGGACCGCCTTGGGTAGGCCACGCTGCGGCCTGTGCGTGTCCTGTCTCCCCTCTTCCCTCCTTCCGGATCTCATTTCCTGTGACGCACTTGAGTGCACCCTTGCACAGCTGGGAAACTGAGGCTTAACCAGGCCCCTGAGTGGCTGAGTAGAGGCGCGAGCCCGACTGTGCCCAGCGACCGCCTGGCCACCGCCCGCATCAGCCTGCGTTTAAAGCTGTGCGGCGCATTCTCAAAGGCAGTGCTGGCCCGGCCTTGCGCAGCCCGCGGAGGCCCGGGGAAGGCGTGCGTGTCACACAGCATGCAGCGGCAGCCCGGGACAGGCTGGCCCTGTGAGCACTCACCCAGCTCCATGCAGAGGTCAAGGCACCTTCTGGCCGTGTGTATGACTGGCTGCTGGTGGCCCTGGCCCAGGGGCAGCTGACTATGTCCCTGCATCCCAGCAATGGCAGTTGAGGGCGGAGGACCAGGGCTCCACCAGGGTGATGAGCAGGGTGGGGGTGAGCCTCAGCCTGCCCCTTTGCCCTGTGTGACCTCTGGCAGTGGCTTCTGCCTGTGTGCCTCAGTTTCTCCATCTGAGCAAAGAGCAGTGTCCTCAGCCACACGAGGCCACACAGGGGAGAAACTCAGACCTGCATGGGGCACTGCCTGCCACCCAGTCTCTGCCACTTTGAGGTTCACAGCCCCCTCTTTTTCTTGGGGTGTGGTGGGCCCCCACCACTATCATGTGTGGCAACAGCTACGTGGGTGATGAGTTGACCGACAGAGGCACTCAGGAGACCTGGGTGAGGATCTGGGCTTGGCCGCCCTGTGCCTCAGTTTCTCTGCCTGTGAAATGGGGGTAACATTAGCACCTGCCTTGAAGGGCCGATGTGTACAAGGTCCTTAGAATGGGCAGCTGATTGCCAGTGCCATGCAGTGAGAGCCACAACGGTGCCCAAGGCAGCCTGATGCCTGGCAGTGTGGCAAGGGTGTTAGGGTGGGTGGGTGGGTGCGTCGGTTCATTCACTCATTCACGCATTTATTCAGGCACAAGTGCCCCCCTTGCGTCCTCCTGCCGTCCCTGTTGGGCTCCTGCTGTGTCTGTAGGGGCGAGGCCGGTGTCCAGAGGGCAGGGATGTAGGGGTCCCCCTGGGCACTGCTGCCCTGGACTTCGGGAGCCACTGGAGGCTTTAGAGAGCAGGGGTCTCCCGCCGGGGCCCAGCCCACGTGGTGTCCCTGAGCAGTGGCTCAGTGTGGGACACGCCGGGCTGGCCGGGAAGGTGGCCCTGTGCCCGCGGGGGCTCTCGGGTGGTGGTTGCGTGGCTGGAAGCCCAGCGGTGGCGTGGCTGGGAGACGTGGGGGCTGGGGTGCCGTCCAGGGCTGTGCGGCTGGGTCTCACTGCACGGAACTCTAGGGGCAGGTGGACGCCGAGGGCCACAGAGAAACGGGGAGCAGAGGCTGGGCCCCCGGGAGGTTGGCTGTCACCAGGCTGTTTGGTGCTGGGCTGAACACGGGCTCGCCTGGCTTGCAGGTGGGCGGCAGGGAAACCCCTGAGCTCAGGGACCCCTGAGGGGAAGGGCAGGTCCCCAAAGGCGTGGCAGCCCTCCTCCCCCGGTGCGGGAAGGAGGGGACAGAGGGTCAGCAGCATGCCCTCCCACCTCGCACGGGCCTGGCCCCAGTGTGTCCCCTGTGGCGTCAGCAGGAAGCAGGGCCGTGCAGCCGGGCAGGGCACGCCCGGGCTTATGTAACATTTGGCACCAGGTCCTCCGAGGCCGCCCCCCCTCCTGTGGACGAAGGTTCCCCTCGCATCTGCGGTCCAGGCCCTGGGGCTCCGCTTCCGGCCACCAGACTCCGTCCCGCTCAGCCCTGCCCCCCGCCCCGTCGGTTCTCCCTGGGCCCCAGCCACCTGGGGCAGCAGAGGCGCCCCTCGCCCCTGGGCTGTGTGGTTGGAGGCAGGTGTCTCGTCTCTCTGTCCTTACCTGTGAGGTGCAGGCTGCCTGAAAGCACCTGGTCTGAGCCTGGTCACGTCCAGGCGTGCTGGGAGCACAGCCAAGAGCAGGCAGGCGCTGGCCCGGGTCCAGTGCGGGAGGCGAGGCCCCGAGCCCAGCACCCGGCGGTAAAGCCTGGCTGCGGTGGGCACAGGAGGGGCTTCGCTGGTGTCCTAAGGATGGGCACGCGGGTCCACGGGGTGCTCAGTAAGCCACTCTGCAAACCCTGTCAGCCTCTGTTGGGCCCAGGATGCCGTGTTGCGGTCTGAAGGCCTCCTCGTGCCAGAGGAGCGAGGGCGCCGGGTGCCAGGCGGGAGGGCAAGGCTTTGCGCTGCGGGACTCTTCTCCACACCCCGGCTTGCTGGCACCTCCAGGCCTTTGTACATGCAGCTGTCACCCCCCAAGCTCTCTGTCTGTCCAGGACCCCCTGCACTGTCCTGCCCCTTCATGGGTCTGAGCACCCCAGAGACCCCTTTGAGAGTCTGCGTTACACATGGGGGCACTCTGCGAGGTGTGGGGGTGTCAGGGCGACCCCTGGGCCGCACGCTTCCCCGCTGATGGGCAGTGGCAGTCGGGGCCTCCAGGACTTATCTTAGCCCCGGCTAAACATAGCCACCTGTGTGCTGGTCCCTGAGGCCAGGCCCGGCCACGGGGAGTCCCCGGACAGGCGGCCCAGACCTGGCACTCACCCCTGCCGTCCTGTGCCCAGGAGAAGGAGAGGAACGCTCGGAGGAAGAAGAAGAAAGCGCCAGCCACGGCCAGCGAGGAGGCCTCCTTCCCACCCGTGGTGGAGGACGAGGAGATGGAGGCCTCGGGTGCCAGTGGGAACGAGGAGGAGATGGCTGAGGAGGTGGAAGGTGAGGGCAGGTCGCAGGGGCAGCGACTGGGTTGCGGGAGGGGACCTCCTGGCTCTGTTCCCCGACACACCTGGCCTCCCCTCGCCAAGGGAGAGCATCCCCCATGTGGATGGGCAGGAGGACAGTGGCAGCTTCTCCAGGAGCTGGGCCTCTCACCGTCCCGGACCCCGAGTCCACTCCCTGCACCAGTGACCATCGGACTAGGACAGCCTTGCTGACCCCTAGTCTCTTGCAGCACTGAAGATTGAACCTCAGGCCTGAGCCTCGGGCCTTCAGACTGAGTGATCTCCCCAGACCTTTTTTATTTGGAGACAGGATCTCACTAGGTCACCAGGGTGCCCAGGCTGGGCTTGAACTTGTGACCTCCCCCCTTCCTGTCTCAGCCTTGGCTGGGATGCCGGGTGTGCACCCCTGCAGCCTGCCAGGAGTTTACTTCTGAAAATAGTTTTTGACCAGGACTAACTTACCAGTTCACCGGCTTGATCAGAACTGGCCCCCCATCGGCATGCACTGCACACGTGTGAGGACCCCCGTGCCCTGGGCCGGGAGCTGAACAGCACGGTCCTCCCCAACCACACGGGGAGCGAGGCCGGGGCGGCTCTGTCTCGGCTCAGGGCCCAGGTCAGACCCACATTCTGCCTGTCCCCGAGAGTCCTCCTCAGGCGGCTGAGCCGCGTAGACTTGCTGAAGAGAGTGCGGAGATAGTGCCGCCGCCTGGCGACCCCCGCTCCCCGCGTGTAGGGAGTATTGAACCACGTGCGGGAGCTTGTCACCCCGTCCCGCTGGAGCCGGGCCCGGGATGGAGGGCGCACCGGGCACCTCTTCCCCACGCTGGCAATGGGTTGCAGGCGGCCTGAACCAGGCTCTCTGCCCCGGCGACCACTCCAGCCACCTCTGTCCCCACCTTGTCCCGGAGGAGGCTGACGGTGCCCCTGTCCCAACCCCGTAGCCAGTGTCCCTGCCTCTGTCCGTGTTCGCCCTCCAGGCCCCTGTGCATGGTGAGGGTGGACACCAGATGGACGGGCCATGCCGGCCATGGGGTGTCCGCAGCCTGGTCCTCACTTCCGGGGCAGACGGATGGTTGGGCCCTCAGCTGCCGTCACCCGAGTCGGGGTGGGTACCTGGGCCCATTACGGCCTCCTCACCTGCCGTGGGTCCCCCTGGCCGTGTGGCCGGGCCAGGTGATAGGGTCACACCGGTCTCATAAGGGTCACACACCTGGGAAGAAGGAGCAGGCTAGGCTGGTCTCACAGCTGAGGCTGCTGTGCCCATCTCGTGGTTGAGGAAACTGAGGCTGGGGCAGGACAATCACTGTCACAGGCAGGGGCGAGGGTGGTCACTGCATGTGGCAGGGATGGAGAGTCGCAGCCGTGGGCTGCCACGTGTCAGTCCCTCTGGGTGGCCACTGCAGCCGAGCTGTCCCACGTAACTGTCCGCATCCTGTCTGCCCGGGGCACCCGGGATCAGACCAGGTGGCCGAGGCCCTGTGGCCGTGAGGGAACGGTGAGGACGCTGCCCACAAGGCCTCTACCTTTCTCGTGTCTGGCGGGGTCCCTGTGCTCTGCCCTCGGCTCGCCTCTGTTTGGGGGTGAGGCCGGTGTCCCCAAGTTGTCACAGCCACTGGCCGCCCCCATGCGTCTCCTGAGAGCTGGGTGTCAGCAGCCTGCACCCACGGGACGGGGACTGGATCCTCCCAGGACCCACGTGACTGTCACCAGCAGGGCAGGATGACTGGTGTCCAGGGACGGGGACTTCCAGGCCTGATGTTTCTGCACCCCTGCTGGGAGCCCTCGGCACCCCACGCCTCATTCCCCATCTGTAAATGGGGTGAGGATTGTCCCCGCTGCGCCCCCTGGTCAGGGGCTCCCCGGCCTCCCGCCTCCTGCTGCTCGGGGCCGCTAACTCCTCTCTGACTTTTTCCAGCCTTGCCGGCCCCTGGGAGCGAGGTCCCCCGCGGGGAATGCAGTGGCCCAGGTATGATCGGGTTGTGGGGGCGGGCAGCTGGGGCTGGCACCTGCAGGTAGCCCCTTCTGGGAGCGCCCTCTGCCTGCGGGAGCTGCCTCTGCACCGCTCCCTGGGCTGTCGCGGCCCCCAGCCTGTGCCCCTTGCCCGTACCGCCTCGTTTCCAGCTGTCCGCATGTCGCAGGCTGAGGGAAACTGAGTCCCAGGGCGAGGACCGAGTGGTGCCCTTGCCCTGGCCAGGGCCCACTTCCCCAAAGCCAAGCAGCCCCCAGCAGCCGGCAGCGGGTGTGCAAGCCAAGGGGGTGCGGTGGGTGGGTCCCCTTGGTGGGGACGACGGTGGCGCGAGGCCCTCGCTGCCCGCTCCGTGTCCTCTGCCCTGCGAGGCAGGGCCAGGGTCCTCTCTGCCTTGTAGACAGGGAATCAAGCCAGCGATGGCCTGCACGTCTCTCCCTCTGCAGCTGTTTAGGGCAGCACCGGGGCGAGGCCCAGGAGAGTGGGGACCCCAGACCGGACCCTGCCCAGCCACCCCGGACTGGCCCCAGGGGCATGGCCTTGGGAACCCACTAGCTGTTGCCCTGCAGGGCACCCTGGGGGCAGTGACATGGGCCAGGCCCCTAGAGCTCGGGCAAGGCGCAGGCACCTGGGCCCCAGGCTCTTCGGGGCACATCTGCATTTCTCACTGTCCGCTTCTCCTCCTGCACAGCCGCCGTGAACAACGGCTCCGACACGGAGAGCGTCCCCTCCCCGCGTGCCGCCGATGTCGCCAAGGAGCCGGGGCCCAACGGACCCAAGCCCCTGCCCACCGCAGGCCCGGACGGGCCGCCCGCCCCGCCGCCCACGCCGCCACCGGACGATGCCCCTGCTCCTGCGGAGTCTGCTGCAGGCCCTGAGGCCAGTGGCCACCCCACGTCCCCAGCAGCCCCCGCGTCGCCCGCCGTAGCCCCTGCTGTGGTCCCTAAGGAGGAGGAGGCGGCCGCTGGGGTGCCGCTGGCCGAGGACAGGGAGGAGCAGAAGCCGCCTGCGGCTGAGGAGCTGGCGGGGGCCTCGGTGAAGATGGAGGAGCCCGGGGCCGCCCCCGGTGAGTCGGTCAAGAGCGAGTGCTCGCAGGAGGCAGCCGAGGGGGCCTTGGACAAGGGCAGGGAGGATGACGCCGAGGTTGTGCCCGAGGGCCCGCTCAAGGCCGAGAAGAAGGAGGGCGCTGGTGGCAAAGCCCCGGCCGCCAAGGGCTCAGGCGCCCCCCAGGACAGCGATTCCAGTGCCACTTGCAGCGCCGACGAGGTGGACGAAGCCGAGGGAGGTGACAAGAGCAGGTGAGTGTGGCCAGGCAGCGGCCCTGGTGTTGTCGCCGAGCAGCCCCATCTCGATCCGCACATCCCTGTATCCCAGCGGGAGCCCCGGGGGCCCAGCCCCGCACTTCCCGCCTCGGTGGCTGCCTGCCGTCCTTGACTCGGGGACACGCCATGCTGCCCCCCCATCTGGCTGGACTTCCTTCTGGTAAGGGCACCCGTCGCATCGTGGGGCCACTTGGTCCAGCCTGGCCTCGTCACCCTGGTCAGATGCCCAGTTTCCTAAGTAGACCAGGTTGGGGTCCGAGTCAGGGCTTGGATGGAGAGCCGCAACCTGCCTTCTGCTGGATGGGAGTGGTGGGGGCCAGGGGGCCGAGCGTGGTCGGGGCGGGGCGGCTCTGGTGGCTGCAGGCCCGGTGGCCGGTGGGTCGTGTTTGTGGAGCCTTCGGTTCCTGAGATGCCGACTGGAATTTGCCCTCCGACACCGGCCGGCTGAGCGTTGGCCAGAGTGGCACGGTCAGGAGATGGTTCACTTGTGCCAGGATGACGGTGGAGCTGCTGTGGGTGTGGCCCTGGGGACGGGAAAGCTGCAGACTGGAGACTCGGGGTGCTTGGTCACCTGGTGGCCAGGCCAGCTCCTCCAGCCACAGCTGTCGGGGACAGCGGGCCATGGGTCCTCCTGTGAGATGCCGGCCAGGTGACCCCACGCCAGCCTGTTCGGGCGTCTTCCTTTCTTCCTGTCTTGCTTGGTGTGGGCCCCTGCCCTGGCCTGGCAGCGCTGGGTTTTAACTGTTTTTGCCGGGATGCTCAGAAACGCCAACCCGTGCTGGCCTGACTCGGCACCGGTGTGGGTGCTTGGGGGCAGAGCTCACATCTGGAAGGGCCTCACATCTGGACTGCCGGCGGGCTGTTTTCCAATGGGGCAGGAGTCACCTTGTTTTGACTCTTAACAGCGTGCTGTGTTTGCTCTGCGGGCGGAGCCCTTGCTGTTTGCGAATCTGCCTCGGGCCACGCCGAAGTGGGAGGTCCTGGGTCCAGATTAGTCCGGATCTTCCTGGGGCCCGTGTTCCCTCGAGGGAGATGACCTCTGTGGCTGGGATCCCTGGGGACCACCATCTGTGGGACTCGCCCGGCGTGTGGCCCTTGGGTGCACAGAGGCCGGGCCCGCAGGTTTTTCAGGGTCCCGACTTTCTCAGCTTCTCAAAGCCCGGCGAGCACAGCTCAGAAACAGGGTCAGAGCGTGGCCAGCGAGGCGCGTGTGGCTGAGGAGCTGGCCCACCCCGTCCCGCGGGCCAGGGGTCTTGGGGAGAAGCGTCCTGCCCTGGTAGCAAGCGGGCTGAGCCCATGGGCAGCTGTGCTGCCTCCCAGGGTCTATGGCGAGGGTGAGGGGTACTGCCTGGAATCGGGGCCGCTCGGGCCGGGCCTGGTGCCTGCAGCATCCGCCCTCTCCCCAGAATCCCCGGCCAGGGCCCGTCCTTCCTCCCAGCTGGGTCTGACGTGTGTCCACCCTGTCCTGATGTCCAGCATGAGGCCCCCAGGGAGCACAGCCCTGGGCTGGGAGTCAGGACACCTGGCCGCCGCGCCCTGCCTGACCGGGCCAGTCCCCGCCCTGGGGACCCGCCTCGTCCTCTCGGGGAACAGGGCTGGACTCGGGCTGACCTCCTCCTGGCGGACAGCCCGCCACCCCCTCCCTGCACCGGCTGCGACTGCGCAGGGCCAGGCGGGCGTCAGGGGACGCAGGCGAGATGCGTCAGAGAGCGCCCCAGGACGGGTGGGCCCCTGCAACCCCAGGGCCTGGCCGCCCGCCCGCGGCCCCCTTTCCAGCCCACGGCCCCCGCCCCGTGAACTCTGCGCCTGGGACGACGCAAGACGGGGCTAGCCAGGCCGCCACCCGGACGGCTCCAGGGGAGAGGGTGGCCCGCTCCTGCCCCCCAGGCAGCGCTGCCCAGGCTGTCTTGGCAGGCGCCCAGAGATAGAGGCTTGATTGTGGGTCCCCTGGCCACCTGCCCTGCCCCACTTCCCAGAGAAGCGGCCTCCACCTTCCCAGCAGGCGGCCTTGGGAAAGTCCCTTCCCAGCCTCAGTTGTCCCATCAGCGAGGTGGGCGAGGACCCCCGCCCCCGCCCTCTGCCGGTGCCTGGCTGGTTCTCAGCGTAAGTGAGGTATAAGCAGGGAGTGCCAGCTGGGCCAGGCACATGGGTGCCAACGGGAGATCTGCGGTCCCCTCTTGGCCATGCCCCCCACCGTGGGGCCTCCGTGTCCCTTTCCCCAGCGAGGAAACGGAGGAGCACTTAACCGGGGAAAGTGACCCTGCCGCGTGGGGGTGGGCGGCAGCCCAGGCCTCTCGGTCACCGGCGCCGTGCCAGGCCCCGCCAGCCCCTCCCCTCGGCCTCCGGAGAGGAAAATAAAAGCTGCTGTCTTCCCGGGAACAAAGGCGAGGGAGGGAGAGAGGGCGGGCCGGCCGGGGCTCCGCAGAGGCCGGGGCCCAGCTGGGCTCTGAGTGCCACCTCCTCTGCCCTCAGCTTCCTCAGCCGCTGTGCCGCGCGGGACTTCCGCCTTGTGGGCCTGGGCTTTGCACCCAGACCCTTGTAGTGACCCTCGAGGGGCCTGGCTGGGACCAGAGGCCTCTTGTTCCCTGTCATGTGTTGCCCCAGGCCTCTCGTGCTCCCATCCATGGTGGGGGCAGTCACAAAAGAGAGGCCTAGCTAGGCACTATGGCACACACCTGCAATCCCAGCACTCAGGAGGCTGAGGCAGGAAGATTCCTACGCCAAGGCAGCGTGGCATAGAGTGAGACCGCATTAGAGAGGCAGTCCTTGACCCTCCCCACCCCCTGCCAAGTTGACTGTCCCCCTGCCTCGGGGAGGAGCCCCGGGGAAACAGAGGCAGGAGAGAGCACCCAGACCCTGTGTCAACAGCCCCAGCTCCCGGTAGGTGTGGGGTGACGCTGCCGTGTTTTAAACGTATTATAAAAATAGACTTCGTGTCTCTGTGGAAGTGTATTTACACACAGACACTAGCTTGAATCTCAACTTGGAAATTTGTGTTTTAGTGTTTTTGCGCTTTTACACACATAGAAAACAGAGCGCATTGCTATTTTTACCGTTCATAGAAAATACAGCTGCTCCGCGGAGCCCTTGGTTTGCTGGCCGTGCCTCTCCCTGCATGGCGCGGCGGGTTTGGGGCTGGCACCGCGCACTCACCGCGGACCGTGAGCCGTGTGCGTCCCCCTTGCCTGTCTGGCGTGTCTCATTTGGGAGAGCGCCTGTGTCAAGGACAACTTCCTTTTCTCGGTTTATCCAGTGTGGCAAATGGAACCCAGGGCCTCCTTCTCTTTTCTAAAAGTCTTTTTTCTTTTCTTTTTTTCTTTCTTTTTTTTTTAAAGACCGGATCTCACTGTGTAGTCCAGGCTGGCCTCGAACTCGTGGCAATCCTCCTGCCTCAGCCTCTCCGGTGCTGGGGTTACAGTTGCGTACCACCATGCCTGGCTCTTGCTCTGTATTTCTACTTTGGGTTTCTCATGTAAGAGAAACAAGGTGATACTTAAGTTCGTGTGTCTGATTTATTTCACTTAATGTTATGGTCTCAAGGTGTACCCGTTTTCCTACAAATGACTCAAATTTATTCTTCTTCATGGTGTATAAGCACCACATTTTCTGTTTGTTCACTTGTTGATGGACACATAGACCGCTTCCAAGATTTAGCTCTTATGAGTTGTGCTGCTGTAGGAATGGGTGTGGATGTGTCCTTGCACTGTAATATGATGTCTTTAGCTCTTTCAGGAAGATACCCAGACAGGGAATAGTTGTGTCAAATGGAAGGTTTAGTTTTAGTCTTTTGAGGAATCTCCATACTGACTTCCGTAGTGTATGTCCTGGCTTACGGTCCCACCAACAATGTAGAAGTGTCCTTTCCCCCCACAGCCTTGCCAGCATTTGTCACTATTTCATTGCTGGGTGATGGCCATTCTTTCTGGGCTGAGGGGGAATCTCAGTGTTGTTTTAATTTGCATTTCTGTAATGGCCAGAGATGCTGAGCATTTCTTCAGGTATTTATTTGCTATTTATACTTCTTCTGGAAGTATGTATTCATTTCAGTTGCCCATTTTTTGATTGGATCTTTATTTTGGAGGGGGTGTCATTTTTTTGAATTGTTTTGTTTTGTTTTTGAGACAGGGTCTCATTTTGTATGCCAGTCTGGCCTCACTTTGAACTCATGGTGATCCTCCTGCCTCAGCCTCCTGAGTGCGGGGATTACAGGCATGCACCACCATGCTTGGCTTTTTTTATATTTTTGATGTGAGGAGTAGCTGGCAAATTTTTTTCCCATTCTCTGGGTTGTTTCTTTGCTCTATTGGCTGTTTATTTTCTATACAGAAGATTTGTTATGATCTCATTTGTTGATCCTTGGTACTGTTTCCTGTACAACCTGGATTCTGTTCAGAAAGTCCTTGCCTATGCCTATGACTTCAAAGGTTTTACCTATTTTATTTTCTATAGGTGAAATGTTTGTTTTAACATTTAGATCTTTGGGGCTGGGGGTTTAGCTCAGCGGCAAAAGCGCCTGCCTGGCACACGCAAGGTCGTGAGTTCGGTTCCCGGTACCGGAGAAAAACCAAAAAAAAAAAAAAAAAATTTAGATCTTTGATCCATTTTGATTTTCATTTTGTGCATGGTGAGTGTTACGAGTCTAGATTCAATCTTCTGCCTGTGGAAAGCCAGTTTTCCTAGCATCATGTATTAAAGAGGCTATCTTCCTTCCAGCATGTTTTTGGCCCCTTCGTCGAAGATCAAATAGTCACATGTGCGTGGACTTGTTTTTGCTCCCTCTATTCTGTTGCTTTGATCCTCAGGTTCTGTTTTTGTGCCAATACCATGTGGTATTTTTTTGATACTTGAAATCAAACTCAGGACCTTGCACTTGCCAGGCAGGTGCTGTGCTACTGAGCTGTATCCTTGGCCCCCTACCATGTTGTTTTAATCACTGTAGTTTTGTAGTAGAATTTTAAGTCCAGGATTGTGATGTCTCCTGCTTTGCTCTTGTTACCCAGGATTGCTTTTGCTATTCTGGTTCCGTATGAATTTCAAGATAGTTTTTTCCAGTTTTGTGGAGAATGCTGTTGGAATTTTGACTGGGATTGCATTAAGTCTACATGTCAGTTTTTGGTTCTGCCTATCCGGGAACACAGGATAGCTTTCCATTTTAATCTTTTTGAGACAGGGTCTCACTATGCAGTTCAGGCTGGCCTTGAATTCACTGTGCAGCCCCTACTGGTGTCGAACTCACAGTGGTCCTCCTGCCTCAGCCTCCTGAGTGTGGGATTACGGGCGTGCACCACCACACCCGCCCAATAGCTTTACACTTTCTGATGCCCTTTTTGATTTTTTTTTTAGAGTACTGTGGTTTTCATTGTAGGGGTCTTTCAGTTCCTTAGTTAGGTTAATTCCTAAGTATTTCATTTTTCTTGGTGCTATTGTGCATGGCATTTTTGCCTAACTTTTTTCTCAGTAGATGCATTATTGGTGTACGAAATGATTTAATTTTTGTGTTGAATTTTGTATCTTGCTACTTTGCCGAATTTGGTTATCAATTCTGTGAGTCATTTGGTGGATTTTTTGGGTCTTCTGTATAGAGGATGATGTCATCTACAGATAACGATACTTTGTCTTTTTCTTTGCTCTATACCTATTCCTTTTCTTTTTCTTGCCTAATTGCTCTGGCTAGTGTCTCAGACTGTGTTGACCAGGAATGGTGACAGTGGACACGTTTGACTTGGTTCTGCTCTTAGAGGGAAGGCTTTGAGTTTTTCCTGATTTAATATGGTGTTGGCAGTGGGTTGGTCAAAGTGGCTTTTACCAGATTGCGATAAGGTTCTTTTATACCTCGTTTCTTTCTTTTTTTTTTTTTTGTATCACGAGTGGATGTTGGATTTTATCGAAGGCTTTTTCTGTGTGTATTGAGGTGATTGTGTGATTTTTTTTTGTCCTTGCTTCTGTTTATGTGATGAATTACATTTATTCATCTGTGTGCGCCGAACCATCCCTGGGATGAAGCCTGCTTGGTCATGGTTTATGATCTTTTCTATGATTTGCTTCACTGTGTTTACCAGTGTCTTGTGGTGGATTTTCACACCCGTATGTGTTAGAGAGATGGGCCTGTGGTTGATCCTCACTGGCTGTGGAACTGAGTGAGTGGAAGCTTCCAAGAATGGCTTGGGAGTATCTTTTCCACTCTTGAGGACCGACCTCGGCGTGGGGTGCCGGCTGGAGGGGCGGCGCAGGTTTAAGCTTCTGGGAATCCACAGGGCTGTCTTCCAGCATGGCTGGACAGTCCCCCTTAGACTCGGGCTTTGGTGCCTGCGGGAGCGCGTGGAGCGCGGTGAGCAGGCAAAGGAGAAGGCAGCCTCGGGGCCCAGGACAGGGACACGGAGTGGTGACAACACCTCCTGTGGCCCCAGCTCCGGGCACCTTGGCCTGAGGGCAGTGAACGTAGGGCCGGGGTGGGAAAGCCAGGAGGCTCTGTGTGAAGCCAGGTGCGGGCTCGGGGGTCCGTCAGGGCCGGATCCGGACCGTGGAGCGGAAGGAGGCGGGAGGCGGGCGGTGCGGAGGCTGGCGGCGCGCGGGTCAGGGTGACCTTCCTCTGTCCGGCCCCACCTGCAGGCTCGGGCGCCTCAGCAGGCTTCCCCCGCGCTGCCTGCTGTTCCCGCTCTGCTGAGCATGTGGCAGGTGTGGGTGGGGGGCCGGCACCCGCAGTGACGGGCTGTCACACGCCGCGGGCCTGACAGGCAGAGGGGCGGGCGGGCACCACAGCGCTCCTCAGACCCCGTGTCAGCCCTGCTCCATCTGCGAGCTGGTTGTCACTGTGCTTGCCTCAGAGGCGGTGTCTGTGGCCTGCCGTGTGTGTGCGTGTGCGTGTGTGTGTGTGTGACGGGGGGGGAGAGAGAGAGAGAGAGAGCGCCGCGTGTGCGTCAGCACCTGCCTCTGCTGTGCCCTTGGCTGAATTCCAGGCCCCTGGCCGCCTGTCCTGCCTGGTGTTAGTCTTTGAACTGACTGCTCCGGTCCCTGGGGCAGAGGCTGGTTCCGTGTCCCCCTGGTGGAGGTGCTGTGCTCCGTGTGCCGGCTTCCTGGAAAGCTCAGGCTTTCTGAAGGTGGCCCTGGAGGGTCTCTGCGCCTGGTGGCTGGCATGCGTTCTGCACCCGCCGGGCTCGGGAAGTCTGTGGCCCTCTGCTTCCGTCCGTCTCCTGTTAGGCGCAAGGACACAGGATTCCAGCTTGGGGTGCGGCTGCCACCTCTGCCCTGTAAGAGTCGTCCTCTGCTGTGTGCGCGCAGCCCTGCCCTGGCCCCAAGCTGCGGGTTTGGGTGAGGAGATACCTTCCTGGAGTCTCCCTCAGCCACCAGCTGCTCCTGGAGGCCTGTGGGTGTAGGCGCCGGCTCTGGCTTCTCCGGGATTTTCCTCACCCGCGCTGTCTGGGGACCTTGGATCCTGGCCTGGGCCCCTGGCCAAGCCTGGCTTCCGGGCCTCTGGCTGGGTTGGAGGCCCTCTTGGCCCTGGCGGGGCCTGCGTGGCCTGAAGGAGGGCGCTGCTCTTTGCAGTCAGTTCCTGCCGCTCCTCCCCTTTCTTTGGTCCTCCCTTGCTGGCCCCAGAGGCCAGGGCCAGGTGACAGGTTGGGCCCCTGCCCTGGGGCACCCTGCTCTGAGCCTGGAGCTGCCAGGGGCAGGGACTGCGGCCTGACACGCCTGTCCCCACAGGCTGCTGTCCCCGAGGCCCAGCCTCCTTACCCCGACCAGCGACCCCAGGGCCAGCGCTTCACCGCAGAAACCGCTGGACCTGAAGCAGCTGAAGCAGCGGGCGGCCGCCATCCCCCCGATCGTGAGTGTCCGGGCGCAGCAGGGGAGACTGGGGGCCTCGGTTCCTGGAGATGTCTCCGTGGGGACGGGAAGCTGGGCGGCAGGTCTTCTCCCTCCTGCATCCCCGGTGGCCTCCTGAGCCCCGAGACCAGCGGGAGGGGAGGAGGTAGGAAGCCCGCTCGGCCAGAGGCGTGAGAGCCCCTCAGTCCGGACCCTGTGACGTGCCTTTCTGGAGCGGAGCTCCCGACTCCTCTAAGGGGTTTGCAGGCACAGGGCCAGAACTTGGCAGCTAGGACGGGCCGGTCTTTCTGAGGTGGGCGACCCCCCTGACCCGTGCCAAGACCCCGCCAGTCCCAGAGTCTCTGGCTGCCCTGGACCCGTTTCCGGGCGGCCACATGAGCACACGCCGACATCTGTGACACTTGGATGCCATAGGCACCTGCCCCCTCCCACAGGTCACCAAGGCCCACGAGCCCTGCCGGGAGGACGCGGCACCCCCTCAGCTGGCTCCCGCCCCGCAGGCTCCCGCCCAACACCTGCAGCCTGAGGGCGACGCCCCCCAGCAGCCGAGCAGCAGCCCCAGGGGCAAAAGCAGGAGCCCCGTGCCCCCTGCCGAGAAGGAGGGTGAGTGTGCGTGGGGCCGCAGCGGCCCGTCCGGTGGCCTGGGCCAGGTGGGCCGGGTTGGGTGGGGCAGGCCTGTGGCTCGTTGCAGAGTGGTGTGCGGCCTGCAGTGGGTCCGCGCAGCCTCTAGCAGCCCCCTGGCTCTGCAGATACACCTTGGGCCAGGAAGTGTGTCTTGGCGAGGCCGTCCATAGAAGGCTTCAGATTCTTGTCCGCTGCTGCAGGCATCCGAGGACGGCAGGACCCTGGGCCGGGCTCCTGGGTTCTAGCTGTTGGGGCCTGGGCAGCTACCCCATCTACCAGCCGGTCACTTTGTCCCTCCATCTCTAGCGGCACACCTGTGTCAGGACAGAGCAGGGCTGTGCCCACCTTGGCCCCTTACCTGCTGCAGGAGGCTTGAGGCCTCCCACACAGGCTTCTTCTCGGGGGGCTGGGGGAGAGCGTAGGGAGAAGACAGCCGGTGCTCCGTGCAAAACACCCTCGGGTAGAGATGGCATGGGTTATGGGGAGGTGCCGGGGGGCAGGGGGGCAGAGAGAGGATGGTAGAGGAGTGGAGAGAGGGGATTGGGGCCAGGCTGTGCAGGGCCTGGAAGGCTGTAGGAGAGAGAGTTTCGGGTCAGAAGTGGGTGCAGCTGGAAGGCTTTTACGTGCACGTGTTAGGAAGGGGATGCGCCGTCCGATCTGTGTCTCAGAAACCTGTCTGGTTCCCGGCAAGGTGAGCGGGCCGAGGGAGCGGAGTGTGGGAGCGCAAGGCCCCAGTGCTGTTCTCGGGCAGCGACGGGGCAGCCGGGGCCCGCAGGAAGCGGAGGGGGCGGACTCGGCGTGCGTTTCTGAGGTGCAGCCGGTGGGGCCAGGGCACCTAGGCCCAGTGCCCTCGGCACGGGGCTCAGAGGACCTCCCAGGACAGTGGGAGGCGAGTGGGCGTCCACTCTGAACTGGGCCGGAGCCGCCCACCTGGGCCCCGCGCGGCGGCCTGCAAGCCGCCAGCCCTGGGGCTCTGCGCTGGTGGGGCCTCGCTGTTTCCTGGCCTCGGGCTCCAAGCCTTGGTCACGTGGCCTGCTGTGCTGCGGCTCTGGGGACACCGAGAACTTGACACCCAGCTCTGCTGCTCTGCACTCCGGAAGTGCCCGCCTGGCTCCCATGTGCCGTGGCTCTGCCAGGCTGGTCCCCGGGCGCCCCTGGGCCCTGCCGGAGGAACAGGCTGTCCCTCAGGCTCCCGGCTGGCTGCCCAGCCTGGCGCTGTCCGCGCTGCCCATCCAGCCCCGAGCACACAGGGTGGGCGAGGGAGCAGCCAGGCTTTGCAGTGAGTCACTTCCCTGGGGGCTGGCAGGCAGCGCGGATTCCCGCGCCCAGGCACCCCTGCCCCTGCCACCCCGCACAGGCTCAGGCAGCTGTGGGGCTCCTGGGTAAGGCTGTGCCACCTGCTGCCCGTCAGGCCCTGCTGGTGCATCTCCGCGGTGTCTTGCCGTTCCCCGGAGGAGGCTTAGGATGCGCTGTTGGGCTGGAACCGTCTCCCCGGCGACGTCTGCATCCGCCCCTCAGCCATTCCGTCCCCAACACCGGGCCTCCTGGGGAGGCTTCAGCGTGGCCACAGTTTTAACCAAGGGCCCCCGCTGGGTCCTTGGGCAGCCCCAGGCCCAGGCCCAGGGTCCCGCATGCCCGCCCTTCCCGCAGCAGGTGGCCAGGCCTGGTACTGGGGGACCTGCTCGGCGCCACACATCGTCCCCAGAGGTGGTGCAGGGAGAGCAAGGCGATGAGTGTGGTGGCCCGGAGAGCCAGGCTTCTCACGGCCAGCAGCCACATTGCGGTCGAGTCCCACTGGTGCACGTGGGCTGTGACGGCAGGGACGTCCTTGGACGTGTCTGCACCTGCGTCCCTCAACCTCGGGGGCAGCCAAGAGCCCCAGCACTGCCCGAGACACAGTCCCGTGTCATCAGAGCACTGCAGGGACACAGGGCAGTGCCCAGGTCATCGCAGGCCTGTGGAGCTGCTGCCTGGGACCCCCATCCCAGGGCTGCGGGGCTGCGGGGCCCCCGGGGGCAGCCGAGTGCCGCCTGACCTCCTGCCCGCCTCATGTCCTCAGCAGAGAAGCCCACATTCCTCCCGGCCTTTGCGGCTGAGGGCCAGAAGCTGCCCGCAGAGCCACCGTGCTGGACGTCGGGCCTGCCCTTCCCCATGGCCCCTCGCGAGGTGATCAAGGCCTCCCCGCACGCCCCAGACGCCTCGGCCTTCTCCTACGCGCCCCCTGGTGAGTGGCTGAGGCCCCTCAGTGACCACGCCCTGCCTCACAGCACCTAGAAGCAGATGCCCGCTCGCTGGGTCTGCCCTGTGCCGGCTCGGGCGCCTCTGGCTCCCTGCTGCTGTCCCGCCCAGTAGCCCTGCAGATTTCCCACAGCCTTAGGGCTGTCCTTCCCCTCCCTGATAGCTCACCCCGCCCCATGCCGTTCTGAGCCGAGACAGGCAGTTGGTGCCCAGCGCATGTGCCGTGAGGCCGGATCTGAAGGCGTCCTGGTATCCCCAGGGTGCCCGCTTTCACCCGGGCGGATCCAGACGGAGGAGGAGGGGGCAGGGGAGCCCGGAGGAAGACAGGAAAGGCACCCCTTCCGGGCATGTGCAAAGGCCCAGAGGCGGGAAAGAGTGGGTGAAGCCTGACAGCGCAGCCTGGCTGCCCTGGCAGTGGCTTGGTGGGAAAGCACAGGGAACTATTGTAGGAGGGCCATGTCGGTGACTCTACTGGAAGGCAGTAGAGAGCCATTGATAGTTCACAGCAGCAGGAGGGTGCGAGCTGTAGACTTGGTCACCATGAGGGAATCAACTCCTGGGGGTGAAACGGGACCAGGGACATGGGCTGGGGGCTGCACCGGGCCTGAGCAGAGGAGTGGGCAGAGGAGGTGCCAGGAGCCCCCAAGTCCAAACATGGACCTGGTTGCCCTGGGAGGTGCACCCTACAAGCAGCCCCTCGCCCTGCAGGTCACCCGCTACCCCTGGGCCTGCACGATGGCGCCCGGCCCGGCCCGCCTCGCCCACCCACCATCTCCAACCCACCGCCCCTCATCTCCACCAGGCACCCTGGGGGCCTCGAGCGGCAGGCAGGTGCCATGGCCCAGGTGAGTGGGGTGGGCTGGGCTCTGGGGCCAGGCGCCGCTCTGTCTGGCTGGGTGCTGGCTCTGTGTGGCGGGAGCCCAGCATGGGCCTGCTCCCCGGAAGTGCCCAGGGGAGGCGGCCCAAGCATGGCGGCTTCACCTGTCCGGGTCTCTGAGGAAGGAGGGAGGCAGAGGTGCAGAGCCCGGCCCACGGCGCCTGCTCCGGCCGTGCATCCTTCAGCAGGGGGCTGCTGGCTGCCCTGGCTGGGATTATGGCCTGGGCCCTTGTAGCCACCGTGACCCACCTCTGCCCACAGGGAGTGTCGGTCCAGCTGCACGTCCCCTACTCTGAGCATGCCAAGGCTCCAGTGGGCCCCGTCACCATGGGGCTGCCCCTCACCATGGACCCCAAGAAGCTGGGTAAGGCCTGGGCCCAGGCTCAGGAGCCTGCTTGGCTCCGGCTGCCCCTGCTGGGGTTGGGGATGGACCTGGGGCACAGCTGGGACCCTCAGCCGTTGCGGTGGGATGGGGCAGGCTCCCTGCCCTGGGGCCTGGACTCACCTCTCTCACCACTGCCCCCAGCACCCTTCAGTGGAGTGAAGCAGGAGCAGCTGTCCCCCCGGGCCCAGGCTGGGGCCCCTGAGAGCCTGGGCATGCCCACAGCCCAGGAGACGTCCGTGCTGCGAGGTGAGGCCCTGTGCCAGCTCTGCGCCCGGCCCCACGCCTGTCCCTGCAGCTGGGAGGGGCGGCAGCAGTGGGTCCCTTCCAAGCCCTGTGGGCAGTGTCCCCCAGACGCCGCAGGCGCCCCTCCTAGCCGTTGTCCCTGAGAGACGTGAGCAGGACCCATAGGTGGCTCTTGGGCCCAAGGCCCAGGGAGGGGCACAGACCTCGACACCTGCGTCTCGTGTCTTCCAGGGACGGCTCTGGGCCCCGTGCCCGGCGGGAGCATCACCCGGGGCATCCCCAGCACACGGGCGCCCCCCGAGAGCCCGGGCACCTACCGTGGCTCCATCACCCACGTAGGTACCGCGCGCAGCAAGCAGTGGGCACAGAGGCTGGCGCTTGTCCCGTGTGGTGCCAGGCGTGGCTCAGACCCTGCCGCCCAGGTAGCGGCTGAGCAGGGTGATTTCGGAAGGAGTAACGCAGCGGCATCGGTCAAAGGCTGTGACCTCAGAGGCCAGCGGGGAGGGAGGCCCGCCAGCCACGGCTGGTAGAGACTGAGAGTGTGGGCAGGCCCTTGGTCCTTGAAGACCACGATGCGAGACCAGGGCTGGGCGCCGAGCAGGGGCCCGTGTCACCCATTGGCTCCTGAGGTCAGAGAGATGGCAAAGGGACCTCAGAATCTGGGGACACATAATGTAGTCTTCATAAGCGTGCAAGCCGAGGCGCGGATTGAGGGGGTGACCTGAGGCAGGCCGCCCGTGACTCGGGGGGAAGCTGCCTTCTGGGTCTAGAGCTGCTTTCAGACCTCGCCCTCGTGGCAGACACCGCGGGCTCTGCGCTCGGCGTGAATACGTCTGGTGGGGCGCTCGCTTCCTCCGCAGTGTGGGGAGGCCTGGGTCTGAGGGACACTGGGCACGTCGAGTGGCACAGCTCGAGGGCGTTGGAGGATGCAGGCCGGGGGCACCCCAGCGCAGAGGTCCTCAGTGCCGAGGCTGACACAGTTAAGTTGGTCCCAGTGTCTGTCCCAACGGGCCCTGGGCCCGGTTTGGGGAACCAGAGGGTGATGCGAGGTCCCAGCCCCTAGCAGACACACTGTCGACAGCGAGACCCACACAGGGAGACAGGATCGCCGCGGTGGCCCTCGAGGGCCAGGAGACCCTGTGTAAAGTTCCCCCCAACTCCCCGCACCCCAGCTTCCCCATCTGAAGTGGGCATCTGAATGGCATCTGCCTCGAGGTTCTTTCAGGGACGTAACCGGAGCTGCCCCCCCCACCGTGGGGCTGTGTGGTGGGCTTGGCGCTCGTGCACATGTACCTATCGAGGGTCACTCGGTCCTCACCCTGCAGGGCACCCCGGCGGACGTGCTGTACAAGGGCACCATCACCAGGATCGTGGGTGAGGACAGCCCCAGCCGCCTGGACCGCACCCGCGAGGACGGGCTACCCAAGGGCCACGTCATCTACGAGGGCAAGAAGGGCCATGTGCTGTCCTACGAGGGTGAGTGCGGGTGTGGGGACGGTGCCAGGGTGCCACCGGGTCCTCACCCTGTCTCAAGCTGGGATTCTCGTGATCGAGCGAGACAGGAGGGCCAGGGAGCATGGCTCTTCCGGTCACACGGTGTTTCCGGAAGCCAGCCTTGTGCCAGGCACGGGGACTTGAGACACCCTGTCCCTACCTAAAATAGCTCTGGGGCTGCCCACGAGAGAGGCAGGTCATGGCTCCCCCGCCCAGCAAGGGCTGTCCCCAGACCACAGCGCCAGTGTGCCTCGGCTGTCAGGACGGAGAGGCTAGGGGCCCTGGCCGGGGTGGCAGCCACCTCTGGAGCCAGGTCAGGGATGCGAGCCCAAGAGCAGGCAGAGGAGATGGAGGCACAGGCAGCGGCCTTCGGAGTGGCCCCCTGGCCGCAGGAGAGGGTGGCTGGGGTGGTGTGGGACATGGCACAAGAGGCGCTGACCGCGCTGTCTCTGCAGCATGCAAGCCAGCTGCCTGGTGTCAGGTTGGTTCCAGGTCCAGGCAGCCCTGGGGCAGGGTGCAGGGGACACTGGCTCAGGGCATTCCTTGGTGCTGGCAGCTGTGACTTCAGTGGCCTTCTGTCCATCTCCTGCACCCGTGGACCCCTCTCCTGTTCTGGAAGTGGGGCTGGACCCTGCAGCACTTGGCAGGGTGGGCAGTGGGCCTGCATCCAGGGGCTGCCTTAGGGTGTTGGGGCTGGGATGGTGGGGGTGTCTCTGTTTGTGTCCGATTTGGTGGGAAAATCCAGTGGTTCGTGGGCAGCATTGGCCCAGCCGCACCTGCTGCCCGTCCTGAGCCGCTGACGCCCTGTGGGGTGCAGACGCAGGACTCAGAGGTCCGGGAGTGGAAGCGAGGGCTTGGCCTTGGGCGAGGCTGCGGCTCCTGCAGCTTCTTTCCAATACCCAGACGCAGGCAGCTGGGAGGAGAGGCATCCCCAGCCTGACGGCCACCAAGCCAGCACTGGGGTCTGGCGTCGCCCTCTGCTCAGACCCTGGCCACGCAGATGCCCGTGGGGTGCACACACGGGCTGGTCCCTCACCATGCTGTGTGCTTCCAGGTGCCATGTCTGTGTCCCAGTGCGCCAAGGAGGACGGCAGGAGCAGCTCCGGGCCTGCCCACGAGCCCACGGCGCCCAAGCGCACCTACGACATGATGGAGGGCCGCGTTGGCCGGGCTGTCACCTCTGCCGGCATTGAGGGTGGGCACCCCCTCCCCGCTACTCCTCACCCCTTGCCTCCCCGCCGGGGGTCAGTGCCTCCCATCCGGTTCCTCGCAGCTCACCGGGCAGGGGGCCAGGAAAGAAGTCATCTCTCAGTGCCCCCTGGAGCGGGGAGGGGAGGTGGTCAGGATGGGGAAAGTGAGCCTGGGCTTTCTGAGGCTCCATCTGGGGGCCCCGCAGGCCCGGGAGATGGGCACTCGCCAGGTTCTGTGCTGCGTTCAGCGTGGGCATTGGGACCCATCCCCATGCTGTGCCGTGACGCCCGCGCCCTCTCCCGCCAGGTCTCATGGGCCGCGCCATCCCGCCTGAGCACCACAGCCCGCACCACCTTAAGGAGCAGCACCACCTGCGCGGCTCCATCACGCAAGGTGCCGCCTGTGCCCGCAGCCCGACCCGGGACCCAGGGGTGCGAGGCACAGTGTCCGTGATCGGCACACGTGCGGATGGAGCCAAGGGAGGGTGTAGGGGCGGAGAGAAGGCAGGACGTCACCCCAGCCTGGCAGCGTCACGTGTGGGTGCTGTGTGCTCGGCGCCAGTGGGGGCCGAGAGGACGGCTCCTCGCCCCGGCCTGGGCCTGGTGGGCGGATGCCGTGAGCAGGCCCTATGTTTCCTGTGTTCCTCAAGCCGTGTGCAGCAGCCATGGCTTGTGATGGATGAGGAGCCCGGCGCTCCGGGAGGTGTGGCCAGGGGAGGGTCTGGCCCAGGCAGCCAGCTGGGTGTGGAGGTCGGGGTCAGTGGCACCTGCCCGCTGCCCACAGGGATCCCGCGCTCCTACGTGGAGGCCCAGGAGGATTACCTGCGGCGAGAGGCCAAGCTGCTGAAGCGGGAGGGCTCTCCACCGCCCCCGCCACCGCCGCGAGACCTGGCCGAGGCCTACAAGGGCCGGTCCCTGGACGCCCTGGGCCCCCTGAAGCTGAAGCCGGCGCACGAGGGCCTGGTGGCCACGGTGAAGGAGGCCGGCCGCTCCATCCACGAGATTCCACGCGAGGAGCTGCGGCGCACCCCCGAGCTGCCCCTGGCGCCACGGCCGCTCAAGGAGGGCTCTATCACCCAGGTAGGGCTCCGTCCCTCAGGTGCGGCCCACGTGCTGTGTGGCGGGGATTCTTTCCCTGTCTCCATTTTACCAGCCAGTAGACTGAGGCTCGGAGACCCTAAGGAATTAGCCTAGGGTCACACGGCAACTCTTGGTGGACTGTGAAACGCGAATGCAGATGTCTCAAAGTGTGCACATCTGTCCTCTGGGTGCACTTCTCCCAGCCACAGGCGGCACCCTGGGCCCCCAGGCCCATCGCAGTAGGGGACGTGTTCCCACGGGGAGAGGAGCCGGTCAGCCGAAACCCCAAGGGCCACCGCCTCTCATGTGGCAGAGGAGGCCTGGTGGGAGGGAGGACGAGGGAGCACGTGGGTGTGGGCAGGACAGACAGGACACAGCTGTCCAGGACAGGCGGAGTCCTGGGGACAGGCGGGCTCTCGGCCCAAGCTATGGTGCAGCCCGGGCAGCGTCCACCCTTTCCCCTGGGCAGGGCGGGCTGACCCTCGAGGGTTCCCTGGAAAGGTTAGGCCCTCTCCTGAAGGTGACGGGACTGTTGTCCCCGGGGCGCCATGTCCCCCACCCGGCAGAGTCGGGCAGTGGCAGGATGTCCTCCCGGGCCACCAGGCCGCTCAGGTTGCCATGTTGTCTGGGACCCCGTCTCCGTAGCCAGCAAACGCGAAGCCCAGTCCCAAGCTCGGTGCCCAAGGCCACGGCCCAGGCCGGGCAGCCAGGCTCCACGGCTGAGCTCCCTAGGGAGGCGCTGGGCGAGCAGGGCTGCCACCGCTCGGAGAGGGCTTGGCACACCGGGCCGCTGCTGCCCCGAAGGGTGACTGCTGAGCTCTCTGCCCCTTCCTGCAGCACCCAGGCAGCTGTGTCCCTCAGGGGCAGCGTGTCCCTCTGCTCGCAGCAGGGTCCTCCGTCCCCCCGCCCTTCGCAGTACAGCATGTCACTCCCGTTACAGACGGGAGGGTGGGTGTGTCTCCTCAGCTTCGCTGGGGAGAAGCCCCGACGCCTGTGGCTTGGAGGCGGGCAGGTGACGTGGCCCAGAGTTTCAGTGGGTTCAGTCCCTGGCACGGCTCCACAGCGGGAAGGGCGAGGCAGGCCTGGGCTGCCCAGCTCGGGTCACTGGGAGGCGGAGGGCAGGCAGCACACGAAGGGCCAGGGGCTACAGGCAGCACGCACCAGCCAGGGCATAGCCTGCTTCCTGGCTGGGGACTCCGCCCCCGCCATCGGTGTGGGATGTTCCCGCCTCACCATGACCTGACCCCCAGGGCACCCCGCTGAAGTACGACACTGGCGCATCCTCCGCCGGCTCCAAGAAGCACGACGTTCGCTCCATCATCGGCAGCCCCGGCCGCACCTTCCCGCCTGTGCTCCCACTCGACGTGGTTGCGGACGCCCGGGCGCTGGAGCGCGCCTGCTACGAGGAGAGCCTCAAGGGCCGGCCGGGTGCTGCAGGGGGCTCCGGGGGCTCCATCACCCGCGGGGCGCCCGTTGTGGTGCCCGAGCTGGGTAAACCGAGGCAGAGCCCTCTGACCTATGAGGACCATGCTGCACCCTTCGCCAGCCACCTGCCACGGGGCTCCCCTGTGACCACACGGGAGCCCACACCACGCCTGCAGGAGGGTGAGTGGGTGCCGGGTGTGGAAGGGTGGGAGTGGCGTCCCTCTGCAGCTGGGTCCCGGCCCCTCCTGCGTCCTGCCGCTCCTGACGCTTTCAGAAATTTAAATCAGCCAGGGGTGATAGTGCACACCAGTTATCTCAGCACTCTGGGAGGCTGAGGCAGGAGGATTACAAGTTCAAGCCCAGCCTGGGCAACTTAGCATGATACTGTCTCAAAATAAAAAATAAAATGAAAAGGGTTGGGGGTGCGGCTCCGTGCAGGGGCCCCGTGTTCAATCCCCAGAACTGAAAAAGAAACTAAATGATGCCAGTCCCCCATTCATGCCCTTCCAGCAACTTTATACTTGGAAAGAAAATAATAAAGCTACCTCACCATGCGTGGCCCCCTGGCTCCTGCCAGGGGGCCCTCCCCACCCCACAAGCCGTTCCCCGTCAGATGCCTGCACCCATGGGCTACGGACGCCCAGCCTCCTGCCCCGGGTGCCCGCTGTCAGCGCGCCGGGCCTTTGCATGTGCTGACCCTGCCTTCCATGTCTGGAAATCAGTGGCGCCTTTCAGCTCATCTCTGTCACTGCCTTGGTGACGCAGGACCCCCCCCCCAGCTCTGGGCGCATACTCTGACATTTTGAATTTTTCCTCGGAACATTTATCCCTGAGATCCTGTGTGTTTGCTACCTCGTCACCGTCTCCTACCTCAAATGTCACCTCCCTGGGGCTGAGGGTTTGGTCTGTTCTGTCCCCTGGGGTGACCGCAGCTCAGCTGAGCCCTGGACACTGCTAATGTCACAGATAGAGATGGTGTGGACTTGTCATTGAATGAATGAATGAATGTGTGTCTTAAGAAGGAACTAAGCAAGGCGGATGAGTGAATGGAAAGGAAAACGAACTGAAAGCAGGCAAGACGGTGTGTGGGGGAGGGAGCCCGGAGCCCGCTGACATCACTCAGCGGCCCCGTGCAGGGCTGTGCAGCCTGCTGAGCCTGCCTGTGACCGTCCCCACAGCCAGCCTCCTGTCCAGTAAGACGTCGCAGGATCGGAAGCTGACGTCAACGCCTCGTGAGGTCGCCAAGTCCCCACACAGCACGGTGCCCGAGCACCACCCGCACCCCATCTCCCCCTACGAGCACCTGCTGCGTGGCGTGAGTGGCGTGGACCTCTACCGCAGCCACATCCCGCTGGCCTTCGACCCCGCCACCATCTCCCGTGGGATCCCTCTGGATGCAGGTGACTGGCCTGGGCGTGGTGCGCGGCGTCGGCACCCCAGTGAGTGCCGGCCCTGGTCTCCTTGGGCACCTACAACCTGGTTCCCATGGGGCAGGGGCCTCCTGAGGCCTGGGGAGAGGAAGACCCAACCGTGCAGCTGCGAACAGTTCGGCTTAGAGCAGGATGTGAGGGCACTGAGGGGTGGACAGTTCTGGTGATTTTCTCCCCGCAGGACCCAGAGCGTCTTTAGGGATTACAGACACACTAACGGAGGGTGCAAGTGTGTGCGGACCAGGCAGGGTCTGTGTAAAACGGTGTGCCGCTTAGGCTTATGCGTGAGCTGTATTTCGATGCCCTGTGTTTGGGAGAATCTCAGTGCAGTCACACACAGGACACGCTCCTGTGCGTCGGGAGCAGGTGTCTGCCTACCGCTCGGCTTTCTGTCCTGTTTTGTGGAGGCTGCGTTGGGGACCTGTGTGTGTGTGACGTGATCAGAAACTGGGGGGGGGCTATTTTTAAAGACTGCTTTTGTCCTGGTACAGGACACTTTGCCCGTAGAACCCCGCAGTCCTCCCCCTCACTTCGGATACACTGGTCCCGTCCTTGCCACTTTCTGCAGCAGCTCTGGAGGCCTCTTTGCTAAGTGTCTTTATGAGTTCCTCCCAAAGTCCACGTGACCGTGGGGAGCGATTTGAGTGGACCCAGGCCATCGAGGCAGCCGTGGCGTGCAGCTAAAGGCGCTCACTCTCTCAGGCTCCAGAGCCTGCCAGCAGCGGCGAGGCCCACGGGCTCTGAGGGGTGTACAGTAGCCCCGTGCCCCCCACTGTAAAAAGTGTTTTTAGTTGAAGCATTGACTGTATTTCTGGTCTCCTCTCTGCAGGGGAGAAACCTTTGGGTATAAAACAGGAGGTTCAGGGCGGGGTGGCATCGAGGCGGGGATATCATGGCTGAGGCGGGGTCACCTCATCTCGCTCCCTGCCCTCCCGCAGCCGCCGCCTACTACCTGCCCCGGCACCTGGCCCCCAACCCCACGTACCCACACCTGTACCCGCCGTACCTCATCCGCGGCTACCCCGACACGGCGGCGCTGGAGAACCGGCAGACCATCATCAACGACTACATCACCTCACAGCAGATGCACCACAACGCCACCACCGCCATGGCCCAGCGCGCCGACGTGCTCCGCGGCCTGTCGCCCCGCGAGTCCTCCCTGGCACTCAGCTACGCCACCGGCCCTCGAGGTGGGCGGGGGGGCACCACGGGATGGGGTGGGAGCGGGGCGTCTGCGCTCTCAGCCAGCGTGCTCCTCTGGCCCTGCGGGCCGCCCTGCTATACCGGAGCAGTCCCAGGTCGCGTGTGTGCCCGCATGCGCCCTGTGTGTGGCAAGGAAGCTGGGCTCCGTCACGTGTGGGTGCCCGGTGAGTGCCTCTCGGTGCACACACTCTGGCTGGGGGTTGGGTGTGCGCAGGCCGGGCGTGTGGCCCTGTGTGCCGTGGCAGGCGTGTGCGTGGTGCGACCCCGTGGAATGTCTCACTGGCTCCTGGCTTGTGGCGCCCTTGGGTGTCCAGAGCAGAGTGTGTGACTTCCGAGCACCACAGCTGGGGCCGCTTTGGGCAGAGTGCTCAGGGCGTCCCCCGGGCAGCTGTGGGCAGACCCAGCACCAGTAGGGGCCGGCCAGGGTACCGCAGGCACTCTGCAGGACTGGATGCAGGGAGGTGACCGTAGAGGGCCATGCCCTGTGACACAGAGCAGCTGCTCCAAGGCTGTTGTGCGCGGGCAGTTGGACCCAGAGGGCCAGGCTTGGGAAGGGGCCCTGTGCTGGGCCTGGCCGGGCGCCCCTGGTGACTGGTGATGCCGCTCTGGGGAGGTGTGCCCAGCGGCAGGAGCCGGGCCTCCTCCTGCCCGGCTTCAGTTTCCTGTCCTCTGCAGGCATCATTGACCTGTCCCAAGTGCCACACCTGCCTGTGCTGGTGCCCCCGACACCCAGTGCCCCTGCCGCTGCCGTGGACCGCCTCGCCTACCTCCCCGCCGCGCCCCAGCCCTTCGGCAGCCGCCACAGCAGCTCCCCGCTATCCCCAGGTAGCTGCTCGTCCCTGGGGTCCTCACACCTGCAGCTGCGCACCCCGCTGAGTCTCTGCTGTGGTCCCCTAGGAGGCCCCACGCACTTGACGAAACCCACCACCATGTCCTCATCGGAGCGGGAGCGGGAGCGGGACAAGTCCATGCTCACGTCCACCACCACCACCGTGGAGCATGCGCCCATTTGGAGACCCGGTGGGTACCCCGGCCCCGGGCCAGGGTCGGTGGCCATAGGAGCCCCGCCCTCCTGACCCGGCTGCCTGTCCCCAGGTACGGAGCAGAGCAGTGGCAGTGGCAGCGGCGGGACGGGGAGCAGCAGCAGCCGCCCCGCCACGCACGCCCACACCCACCAGCACTCGCCCATCTCGCCCCGGACCCAGGACGCCCTGCAGCAGAGGCCCAGCGTGCTGCACAACACCGGCGTGAAGGGCATCATCACTTCCGTGGAGCCCAGCACGCCCACGGTCCTGAGGTGGGCCCGCCGGGCATGGGGAGGTGGGGGGGGCACGGGGTGGGGAGCGGGTGCTGCAGTGGGGAGATGAGCAGACGGCGGGGTGGGTGGGTGCACATGCACGGTAGATGGTGAGGGAGTGCGTGGGTGATAGCAGGTGGGTGGGCCTGGGTGGGTTAGGTGCATGGCCAGGTGGCTGGAAGGATGATCGGGTGAGCGAGGCTGGCGGGGGTGGCTGGTCGCATGGGTGAGTGCGGTGAGGCTCGGTTGGTTGGGTGGGTGGCACGGGTAGGTGAGTGGATGGTTGGGTTTGAGAGGAGATTGGGTGGATGAAAGGGTGTAGCTCAGATGGGCAGGTGACAGCCTGGGGCGGTGGGTGAGTAGTTTACATTAGAGAAGCAGAGTGATGACTAGGGGACGGATAATGGGTGGACAGATGGATGTGGTAGAGAAATAGTGTAGCTGGACAGACGGATGGATGGGCGGACGGACAGGTGTGGTAGAGAAACAGCGGGATGGCCGGCTGGCTGGCTGGATAGATGGACGGATCGATGGGTGGAGGAGTAGTTGGGTTGGAGAAGCAGGAGGAGGCCCGGATGCATGGATGGAGAGGCGGGTGGCTGGGAGGCTGTTTGGGTTGTGTTAGAAAGGCAGGGGGATGCTGGGCGCTGGGTGAGACTAGGTAAGGCCCTGGGCGGCGGTCGAGGGAGTGTGTTTGGACGGTGGAGCAGGTGGGTGGCAGCCGCTGAGGGGCCCCCCGCACTGAGCTGGGGAGGTGGGGCTGTAGGGCCGGAAGGGAGCGCTGGCGGCCTCTGTCTGCTGCACATGCAGCTCACCGACTCCTGGAGCGTCCTGAGCGGCTTCCTGCCTACCCCGCTGGGCCTTCCCGCCTCTCCTTACCCTAACGCGCGGCCGCGGAGCGGTCAGCGTGCTTTGGCCAGGTCCTCGCGTGTCTGTGACTGCGTGTAGCCGCTCCTCAGCAAAGGACCGTACTTGTCTGTCTCGTTCACTGCTGGATCCCGGGGGTTGGGACAGGGCTGGCGCCTAGCGAGGTGATGTTCTGAATGGTGGGTGAATGAGGTCGGCAAGAGCACGACAGGGCACGGGGGACGACTGGGGTGGGCCTTGCAGGTCAGAGCCAAGGGGGCAGATGTATCTGGGGAGCAGCAGGGAGTCGGCTCGCCGGGGCGTTGGAGTGAGGAGCCCAGCACAGCAGCTGCCTGACCCTGTTCTCTTCCCCCCAGGTCCACCTCCACCTCCTCTCCCATCCGCCTGGCCGCCACATTCCCACCCACCACCCACTGCCCGCTGGGTAGCACCCTGGACGGGGTCTACCCCACCCTCATGGAACCCGTCCTGCTGCCCAAGGAGGGCCCCCGGGTCGCCCGGACAGAGCGGCCGCGCGCGGACACCGGCCACGCCTTCCTCGCCAAGCCCCCGGCCCGGGAGCCCGCCTCCTCCCCCAGCAAGAGCTCCGAGCCCCGGCCCCTCGTGCCCCCCAGCTCCAGCCACGCGGCCATCGCCCACACCCCGGCAAAGAGCCTCGCACCCCACCACGCCAGCCCGGACCCGCCGGCACCGCCCACCTCGGCCTCCGACCCGCACCGGGGAAAGACTCAAAGTAAACCCTTTTCCATCCAGGAACTGGAACTCCGTTCTCTGGGTAAGACCACCCTGACAGCGGCCACCTTCATAGACGCGATAATCATGCGTCAAATTGCCCACGATAAGGGGCCGCGAGAAGGAGGTTCGCGGGCCGACGACTCCCCTCGCCATGGTAAGAGTCCCGGCCCGCCGCCCGCCCCTCTCGTGGCCTGCAGATACTTCCAGACCTTTGCTTCTTATTTTTACCCCCGTTTTCCGTTGGTTTCGGTGTTTCAGTGTCGAGCCCGCCCCTGCCGATCTGCACGCTCTGACGACTCCGGCCGCCGCCCTCCGGGTCCGGGGCTGCTCATTATTTGCACATCATTTGATCGTGATTTTTTTTCCTTTTTTTTTTTTTTTTGGTTTTGTTTTGTTTTGGTTTTTTGATTTTTGGTTTTTTCTTTTGATGAATGGATCTGTGATTTGGATTCCAACTGCCCCTCCCATCTGCCCCTTTGCACCTTTGTTCGGGGAGCAGGGGGCGGGGATGCAGAGGGGCTTCGGGGTTGATGGTTTTTGCCTGTGGCTGTGTGTGGATTTGGAGGAAACTGAGGCAAGGAGACGGTGGGGATTGGAGGGGGCACCCACACTGTCCAGGAAGGGCTGGGAGCCCCAACTCCGCACCCCGCTCTCACCTGAGGGAGCCTGGGGTTACCTGCTCCCAGCCCTATGCACCCAGAGAGAAGGGGACTGCTTGGAGCACAGCCTCTCATGTGGGGCTGGGGGCCAGCTGGGACCCTCGGGGCCGCTGTCTTCCTCGTCCCCTGCTCTGTCCCCCTCTTCCTTTCCCCCTAGATCTTGCGCTGTCCCCCCTCTTCTCTCTGTCCCACCCTGTCTGCCTGTCTCTGCAGACTCCTTCCTCTGCCCTGTCTGCTTCCAGCCCCTCTGGCTCACTGGGGTTCACACCCAGCCTTGTCTGAACCCCCTCCATCCCAGGGCCCCAGCCAGCCAGGGAGGGCAGCCCTGCCCCTGGACACAACCCCATCTCTGAGCCGGCCCCGCCCCTTGCAGGTTACCATGGCTACAGCCAGGGAGGGAAGCCCCACCCCTCGGTGCAGCCCCGCCTCTCATCTTGGCCCCGCCTTTTGCAGGTTACCATGGCTACAGCCCCGAAGGGGTGGAGGCTGTCAGCCCAGTGAGCTCCCCCAGCCTGACCCATGACAAGGGGCTCCCCAAGCACCTGGAGGAGCTGGACAAGGGCCACCTGGAGGGAGAGCTGCGGCACAAACAGCCAGGTACCCCTCTCCATGAGGCAGAGACAGCCATGACCCTGTCACGAAGATGGGGGGATCTGAGGCACCCCCTCATCGACCCCACTCTCCCTGCAGGCTCTGGGAAGCTTGGAGGGGAAGCCACCCACCTCCCGCACCTGCGGCAGCTGCCCGAGAGCCAGCCAGCATCCAGCCCGCTGCTTCAGACTGCCCCAGGGGTCAAAGGTCACCAGCGGGTGGTCACCCTGGCACAGCACATCAGTGTAACTACCCATCCCCTACCAGGGAGGGAGGGGTGCACATGGACCCCTGTCCTGGCAGGTGGCTGGGTGGGACCCACTCCCCAGAGAGCACCCCAATCTTCACAGGCCTTGGTGCGGGCCACTCAGGTCCAGCCTGAGGCCTGGCCTTCCCGGTGCCCACAGGACCTGGAGGCACAGAAGGCAGTGGGCAGGGCGGTGGGCAGGTCTGCAGTCAGCCGGGGACCCGGCCCGTCTCCAGAGCCGCTGCTGACCTTGCCCCTGTCCACAGGAGGTCATCACGCAGGACTACACACGCCACCACCCGCAGCAACTCGGCGCGCCCCTGCCCGCCCCGCTCTACTCCTTCCCCGGAGCCAGCTGCCCGGTGCTGGACCTCCGCCGCCCACCCAGCGACCTCTACCTCCCACCCCCTGAGCACGGCACCCCGGCCCGCGGCTCCCCACACAGCGAGGGGGGCAAGAGGTGAGCTGAGAGGGGCGCCGGCCTGGTGCACTGCACAGGTGGAAACTGAGGCCCGGGCTCAGAGCGGTGGGGGATCATCCAGAGACGCGGGTCCATCATGCCGCAGGTGAAGAACTGGGGCCTTAGCAGGAACTCACCCGCCCGGGGGCGCAGCCTCCAGCGTGTATGCAGTGCACACACCTGTGTCCACCCACGCACGTGCCATGCATCCAGGCACACACTCACCCTGCCCAGGCCGGGGAGCGTTACTGTGGGGAGCGCAGTGCTGGGGCTGGAACCTGGGGCCTTGCGTGGAGCGGTGCCCCTAGCACTGTCTATTTTGAATCGGGATTATGAAGTCACCAAGTTGCCTAGGCTGGGTTTGCACTTGCGATCTTCCTGCCTGCTCTGGGGTGTAAAGGGTGCTGGGGAAGGACAGGGCCCAGGCCACGCACAGTCTGCATTGTCTGTTGAGAGACCCGTGCCCTGCCCTGGCTGAGTGCCAAGTTGGCGGGGTGGAGGGGCAGCCCCTGCAGGACAGAGCTCTGACCACACACCTCTCGGCCCAGGTCTCCAGAACCAAGCAAGGCGTTGGTCCTGGGCGGTGAGGATGGCATTGAGCCCGTGTCTCCGCCAGAGAGCGTGGCGGAGCCAGGGCACCCCCGGAGTGCCATGTACCCGCTGCTGTACCGGGACGGCGAGCAGGCAGAGCCCAGGTACTCCCCCGGGGCACAGCCCTTCCCAAGGCCGGGCGTCCAGGGGATCTGGCCTCCTGACGGGGGCACATAGCCATGGGAGGGAGAGGGCTGGTCCTCGACTTCCTGGCAGCACAGGGAGTGAGCACCTCGTCACCCAAGGCGTGCAAAGCCAGCACCGAGGTAGCTGACCCGGGTGTACGATCCTCACGGCAGGATGGGCTCCAAGTCTCCAGGCAACACCAGCCAGCCGCCTGCCTTCTTCAGCAAGCTGACCGAGAGCAACTCTGCCATGGTCAAGTCTAAGAAGCAGGAGATCAACAAGAAGCTCAACACCCACAACCGAAACGAGCCGGAATACAGTAAGGGGCAGCGGGGTTCCAGCATGGGCAAGACCACCCGGTAGCCTGGGCTGGCCTCAAATTCAAGCCGACCCTCCCGCCTCAGCCTCCCAGGTGCTGGGATTACAGGCGTGCACCACCCTGCCTGGCTCAAACTTTTTTTTTTAGTCTTTCTCCATGATGTACAATTGGCACCTGGTGCCGTGCCGAGCACAGGAGGTGCCCAGTGAACGTTCGGCCACAGTGTCCTGGGACCAGGCGCCAGGGGTGCGGCCTCACCGCGTGGCTTCCCTCTTCCCTTGCCGTGGTTGCTAGGCGTGGACTCATCCCTAGCGCAGTGCCTGGCGTCTAGTCTCTGCTGGACAGAGTGGCCCCGTCGCGGGGCAGCCTGGGTAGATGCCATGGCTCCACCCTTTCTGGGCGGCCCGGGACCGGCAGCCTCAGTGCCCCCAGGGAGCGGGTTAGTTAGGAGCACCACCGAGTTGCAGCCCCAGACCTGTGACACTGCAGGGTCGGGACAGATCGAGGCCGCTCGGGTGTCGCACACAGACAGGTGGCGGCGGGTGAGCTCAGGGACTTGTGGGCCCTGGGTCTTACCCGTCTTGTCGTCCCCACTGCAGATATTGGCCAGCCTGGGACAGAGATCTTCAACATGCCAGCCATCACCGGAGCAGGTAACGTCCTGCACCCCACCCAGCTGCTGCCCTAGTTCAAGGACAGTCCCTCCCCCAGGGTCAGGCAGCGTGCGGTAGGAGCCAGTCACGCAGCAGGGCCAGCTGTGTGCTCCCTGCTGCGCGAGCAGGTCAGGGTCGCGGTCAAGGCTGCCTGCACGCACTGAGCCTTGGGCCGGGCCGGGCTTGGCGTCTCTGATGGGATCCGCACATCTGGCCTGGGGTTGAGGCGCAGAACTTCGCAGCCAGGGGCACCGTTTCTCTTAAGCAGCCCAGCCAGGGAGCCGGGGAACTGTATTTTAGGTTTTGCCACATCAAATGCAGACGCACTTGGGAGGTGGGCGTAAAATCCACGCATAGCAGGAAGCCAAAATGTCAGACTTGTGTAGTGCTTGGATTTCCGCTGCCCCCCAGGGGTGCGTTTGCAGTGGCGCCTGAAGCCAAGGCAGAAGACACTGTGGGGGGCCGCGGGGCTGGGGTGCGGGTGGGGTCTGTGCCTAGAGTGCTGAAGGACGCTGGTCCTTCTGTGGAAGCCAAGGCCAGAGGGGCAGGTGGACATCAGGGACCTTAAGCCCCAGGCGCGCGACGAGCAAAGGACGGCCTTTCGGACGTTCCCGAGAGTCATCAGGGCTCCAGTGGGGGTCCCAACTGGGTCCGTCGTCTCCCCAGACGAGATGTACACGGGAGCTTCGCGAAGCCCCGGGGTGGAAACGTTTGGTGGGAACAGGCGCTTAAAAAGCAGTTTGTCGAGTGTCCTGGATCTTGGCGTAGCCGTAGCCACCCCAGCGTACGTGCGGGTCAGAGTGCATGAGCCCTACAGCCGAGATGCGGGCCAAACCTTGGATGTAAATTACTTTCGATTTTTTATTTTTCCGGTGGAACTGCGGGTAGAACCCAGGACCTTTGCACTGAGCTGCATTCCTAGCCTTTGCTTCCTGATTTATTTTGAGAAGTGGTCTCACTAAGTTCCCCAACTGGGCTCAGACTTGGAGTCCTTCTGCCTCAGCCTCTTAGAATGCTGGATTATAGGCGTGTGCCTCCACGCCCAGCTGATTTTTTTTCCTTAAAGCAGTTTAATAAAAAAATTTTAAAACGTCTCCCAGGTGTCTCCTCTGGTGCTCAGACTTGGCCTTCCGCAGAGAAACGCCAGCCCGAGCCCAGTTCTGCCGGGCCCTGAGCTCATGGCCTTGGGGCTCTCGTGGCCCCGCCCCAGCAGCCATCGGGCCAGTGGTCACACTGCGGCGTTTCTGCCTTCCCGTGTCAGCTAAATGCGCAGGCTTTTGACCTTTTTCTTCACCCTTGTTGGAAATCCTGGTTGTTCTTGATGAATGCGGCTTGTTCTAATGCTGGGGAGAGGCGGCATGGACAGAGCGCAGCCGACTGCTCTAGCTGCCGCGGCCGCCACCCAGAAGCAGAGCTTTGAAGGGAACACTCGAGCCCTCACCGTGGGGCCCCTCGATGTTCCCACTGTCTGCCTGGAAGGTGTCCAGTTCCCTCGGGCGGGCAGGACGGGCTGGGGCTCCCCTGCAAGGCCAAGTCCGGCCGGGTGACCAGAGTGTCAAGAAGAGGCCCCTGCCCCGCCGGGTCTGCAGAGGTCCCCCAGGGCGGTTCACGAGGCAAAGAGAAAGGGAACCTGGGACACAGAAAGAAGAGCTGAGCGGGACGAGCAGGGGGTCCCGAGGGAGTGTCCGGGCACGGGGTGGTAGAGTCCACTACTTTGTCCTTGTCACGGGCCAGGCCAGCTGGGGCTGGGCGGAGTGGTCGTCAGCTGTCTCTGGCTCTGTCCCCCGCATGCACTAACTGCATGGCTGCGAACCCACCCCGTTGTCTCTGCACCTCTTTCTCCTCTGGCTCCTGGGTGGGGGGCGGGGAGGCAGGCCCAGTGTGGGGGTCTGGCCGGGACATCGAGCCACCGTCCTCCTCTGGGTCCCTTCCCAGCCCCCAGAGGAGCCAGGCTGTGTCTCCACCCACAGACCCCGTTCCGCCCCCGTCAGTACCCAGCTCCGGCTCCATGCCAGGCCCCAGCCACCCCTCCCCGGCCAGGCCAGCTGCCCCTCGGCTCCGCTTGGACGCCGCTGGAGTTGACAGCAGCAGCAGCCGGGTTGGGCCTGGAGTCCAGCAGGGGCTCCCGACTCCCCACGGCAGAGAAGGATCGAGGCCGAGGGCCTGCCCCCTCCCTGGCTCCGCTGCCGAGGAACACCCAGCGCTTCTGGGGAGCCCTTAGGAGCCCCCACCGCCACCACCACCCCGCAGGCCGAGGGGGAGGGAAATGACGAGACGTGTTGCTTTGCGAAATGTGCTCACTGTGTATTCTCTCTCCTCTTCCTCCTCCTCCTCTTCCCCCCCTGCGCCCCTCTGGCTCCCGGCCCGGCCCGTGTGTGTTGTCCGTCTGTCTGTCTGTCTCTCTCCATCCCAGGCCTTATGACCTGTAGAAGCCAGGCGGTGCCGGAGCATGCCAGCACCAACATGGGGCTGGAGGCCATAATTAGAAAGGCGCTCATGGGTAAATATGATCAGTGGGAAGAGCCCCCGCCGCTCGGCGCCAATGCTTTTAACCCTCTGAATGCCAGTGCCAGCCTGCCCACGGCCGCTATGCCCGTAACCGCTGCTGACGGACGGAGCGACCCCGCGCTCACCTCGCCAGGTCTGCGGCCGCCCCGCCTGCCCCGTCTGTCCCGCCCGCCCGCCGGTGTTATTAATCTTCGCTCCTGTGCCCTCTGATCCTTCGAGCTTCCAGCTTAGACTCTCCGTGCGCACTGGACGTTGTTCTGTAGTTCGCTAATCCCGAGCTGGGCGACACCCGGTGTCCACCCCTCCCTGGCGCTGCTGCTGCTTCTGCAGACGCTGACACCGCTGCCCACGCCCTGCCCCGCCCCCCGCCAGGCCACCGGCTGGCTCCTGGGGGACGCTGGGCGGGAGAGGACCCACCTGTGCTGCAAGGACAGGGCGTAGGGACGGCAGCCGGTCAGCGCCCGGTGCCCGGCATTCCTTGCCGCTGCTGAGGAGCTGAGCAAGGGCTTTAGGCTCCGTTGTCCGATCTGGACACCGGGGCTACGAGAAGTTCTGGACTAAGCGGGGTCTGACTTGGCCTCGGGGTCCTGGTTATTGCACAAGGGTCATAGCCTGTCGGCCCTGGTGTCACGCTGAGGGCCGTGACCTCAGGGCTGCAGGGCAACCAGGGGTGTTGTGATCCCTTCCTCCAGCTCCGGGCTGGGTCCAGCCATCTGGTCAACCTTGCTGGGGCCAGGGGTCATCATAGCCCCCTCCCCAGAGGGCTCAAGCAGCAGGTGGCTTCCCCGTGGCAGGCAGGACTTGGCCCTCCCGTCCCCACTGTCCCTGTAGTACCGGTGCCGCCGTCACTGTCCAACACTCCCTCGTCCCGTCCTCCCTGCAGGTGGCGGTGGGAAGGCCAAGGTCTCTGGCAGGCCCAGCAGCAGGAAAGCCAAGTCGCCAGCCCCGGGCCCGGCGTCCGGGGACCGGCCACCCTCGGTCTCCTCGGTGCACTCAGAGGGGGACTGCAGCCGCCGGACGCCGCTCACCAGCCGCGTGTGGGAGGACCGGCCCTCGTCCGCAGGTGGGCGCGGCGGGCGTGGGAGCTGTCGGGGAGTGGGTGACACGCTGCCTTGGAGGACACGGTTGCACTCTGGGCCGTGCGGCCCAGGGAGAGAAGGGGGCTGGAGCGGGGCAGGGACCAGGATTCAGGGGTGGCAGCGGCCGTGTGGGGACCTGGGTTTCCTTTCATGAAGTGGGGTTCACCCGCAGCCCTGCAGCAGTCTGGGAGGGAAGTGAATCCGAAGGTCCCTGGGCAGCTGCTGGACAGAAGGGCCAGGGGCAGTTGTCAGGCGGTGTGGCCAGCACGTACCTGGGGGTCCACCCGGCCATCGGGGGCTTCCTGAGCCATCTCCCTGTCTTCCTGCAGGCTCCACGCCATTCCCCTACAACCCCCTGATCATGCGGCTGCAGGCGGGAGTCATGGCCTCGCCGCCCCCGCCCGGCCTCCCCGCGGGCAGCGGGCCCCTCGCTGGGGTCCACCACGCCTGGGAGGAGGAGCCCAAGCCGCTGCTGTGCTCGCAGTACGAGACACTGTCCGACAGTGAGTGACCGCCGGCGCGGCCGGTGCCGGGTCCCAGCGCGCAGGAGCGCCCAGCGAGGAAGGAGCCCCGAGCCCGCCCACCCGTGCGTGCGTGCGTTCGTCCGTCCGTCCGTCCGTCCGTCCGGAGCCGGCATCCTTGCCTGTCTAAAGCCTTAACTACGACTCCCACCCGGGCTGGCCCTGTGCAGTGACCTTTCTCAGGGGACGATCACCTGGTGCTCGGGAGGGGAGGGGAGAGGAGGGCACGGCGGACGTGCAGCGGCCGCGTGCGGCCAGGGCGGCCAGGGACCCACAGCAGGACGACCACGCACCTCCACGCCACTGCCTCCCCTAACACATTTGGAACCAAAGTCTAATCCAAGCTAGCGGCCCCCGCGCCCTCCCTCTGCTCTGCCTCCCATCCTGCTTAGTGCTCTGGACAGACGGACACAGGCCCCGTCCGGCCTCTGGGGCTCCCGTCGCGGCCTGCAGGCCGCCCCAGCCCATGGGACTGCTGGAAGCCAGGTCAGGCTGGCCGGGCAGCCGCAGCGGGCAGACGCCGCGGACCGGGACGTTTCTCCGCACGCAGGCGGTGCCGTGGCTGCGGGAAGGAGAGGCGGGTGTACATGGTGTATTGGTTTACAGGGTATATTTTTGATACCTTCAATGAATTAATTCAGATGTTTTACGCAAGGAAGGACTCACCCAGTATTATTGCTGCTCTGCTTCCCATCCGCTTACCGTTCAGGGGCCGTGTGCGGCCGTCGGGCGGTGACCCCACCGAGGGGCCGGGGCCACCTGTTCGCGAGCCCTCCGCCTCCTCCCGCCCCCTTCCTTGGGCAGAATGAGTTTGATGCGTATTCTGTGGCCGCCACCTGCGCACGGCGGTGGCGTTCTGTCATTTACACACGTTGTTCTAATTAAAAGCAAATTATACTCGAGTCGCCAGGGTTTCTTCTGTTTTGCACTGGCAGGAGGGTAGGCAGGTGGGAACTGAAGGGTGGGGCGGGCGTGTGGCCCTGGAGGGCCGCCGCTGCTTTGGGAAGGGTGTCACCCGAGCCGTGGGGTACGAGCACCCCGCTGGAGGTTGGATATTCACTCTCGGTGAGGACGCCCGTGGGGAGGGTGTTGAGTATTCAGACCTGTGATGAGAGTGTCAGATACTCACCCTCAGTGAGGGTGTCCAGCTGTCACGTCCATGGTGGCTGCATGAGGTATTCGTGCCCGACAGTGACGTCTCAGGCCGGCACGCCGGTGGTGAGTGTGTGAGCGTTCCCCCATGCGAGGGTGCTCGTGGTTGCAGCCCTGGTGTGGTGGCCACACTGTGGTGAGGGTGTGCTGCATTCGCATGGGAGGGGTGTGGTGTGCACCCCTGGGGTGAGACTGGCCGCGCAGAGCGTGTGTTACTCACACCACGCTGAGGACGTCTGTCAGGCCCACGGGGAGTGTGTGAGGAATTTACGCCACGGTGAGTGTCGGCTGTCAAGTCCTACCTGGGAAGCGTGCTCCGTGTCTGCCTTCCACTGTGTCCCGAGGTGAGAAGTGTCGCCCCGGTCTGTCCCTCTTGCTTTAAACCCCGGGGCAGGCACATGGCCCTGCCAGGTCGGGCTGAGTGTCACCCCTGCCATCACGGCCCGGGTGCAAAGTCCCGGAAGAGCCTCGCCCTCTCCTCAGAGCTGGGGCTCTGCCGTGGATGTCCTCGCCCCGGGCCTGGCCCCCCAGCCCCGCTCCTTCCCTGCAGGCCCTGCTGCCTGACCCGCGCGGCCCTCCCACTCTGTGCCCACCTGTCCCTGGTCGGGGTGAAGTGGCCAGAGCCAAGCTGGGGGCTGAGCCGAGGCTGCTGGAGAAAATGTGCCCGCCTGCTGTGCCCATCCTGTCCCGGTCCAGCCGCCCTCACAGGCTCCCAGGGAGGAGAGAGACCACCCTTGGCTTGAGCCACTTCCGCTACGTGGGCTGTAAGCGCCAACCCTGTCCCAGGGTGGAGACCAGAGCGCCTTCGGGTCACCCCTTCCTGGGGCCATTGTGGGGCAAGGACTGCCCAGGCTGTGTCCCACTCAGCCTCAAGGGGAGCTGGGCATGCAGGCTGCCAGAGCCACCCACGAAGGGCTGTGGGCAACAGGCCCAGGTGGCTTCTCAGCCGAGAGGGCACCACAGGCGGGGCTGCAAAGCCCTGCTCCTTCGTGCTCTTCCTGCAAGCTGTCCCCGAGCCACACAGCCCAGGGACCCAGGTGCCGCGGGGCCACCTCACCTGCCCCAGGACAGGGTTCGTGCCGTGCTTCCAGGCTCGGACGGCGTGGCCTGGGTCTCCGCCCTGCCCAGCAGAGTAACCAAGCCACTGGGCCTTGGAGGCTCACTGGGTAGGGGCCTGGGCCCCTGGAGGTGCAAGTCCAACCCCTGCCCCGGCTATAGCCCCAAGCTTCCAGCACCCAGTGTCCAAGCCCCGGTGGCATCTTGGCTGGGGATTTGTATTCTGAGGGTGCATGTGGGAGGTGTCTGCATCCCAGGCGACCCCGGGATGCCCCAAACTCACCCTACAAGCCTCTGCTCTAGGGCAGAGGGGTTGAGGGCCTCAGAGCCACGCAGGGTGTGTCCCGTGTGAACTCAGCCGTGTATTCCTGTCTGCCCTGGGTCCCAAGCCACCCCACGGGGCCCTGAGCCTGGCTGCAGTTCTGAGGCCGGCAGCCAGGTGGCAGTGTGGAGCTGGCCGCAGATCTGGTCCTTCTGCCCTGATAGGGGCTCAGACAGGAGCTACAAGGAGGTGGACCACAGGTCTCAGCGCAGGTCACCTCCACCACCCTATCCCTGTGCCTCAGAGCTGGCCTCAGATCTGGTCCTTCTGCCCTGATAGGGGCTCAGACAGGAGCTACAAGGAGGTGGACCACAGGTCTCAGCGCAGGTCACCTCCACCACCCTATCCCTGTGCCTCAGAGCTGGCCTCAGATCTGGTCCTTCTGCCCTGATAGGGGCTCAGACAGGAGCTACAAGGAGGTGGACCACAGGTCTCAGCGCAGGTCACCTCCACCACCCTATCCCTGTGCCTCAGAGCTGGCAGCCCCGGGCCCCTCCGCCTGGCCCATCCTTGGCCGGGTCACACCTGCCCACCCCTCCATGTCTGCTCGACTGGCGCGTGGGGGTTGGGAGAAGGACGTCACATGGAGCAGCTCCCCTCTGGGTTGCACATTTTATTAAGACAGTCACTGGCTTCTGAAGGTACCTGTTGGTCACAAGGCACCGCTGGATGTACTCTCTGTGCAGACAGAGAAATCTGGAGGTCACCACCCAAGGGACCCTGCCGCCCCACCGAGGGGGCCCAAGCCCAGGCCCAGCTTGCCCCTCCTGGTGCTGCCAGGGGAGAGGGGCAGCCCTGGGGCTACTGGTGCCTTCGGGCTGGGGAGGAGGGAGGCAGGCAGGCCGCCGTGGGCACAGCAGGGATTCAGTGCCCCATCGGGCAGCCCCAGGCTGTGGGCAGCCTGACCCATGCCACCCACTGGAGTTGAGTCTGTGCGGCCCCTGCTCCTCCCTGGAGCTTGCCCGGCCTGTCACGGGGTGGGCGCCGACTCCGTCACGGCGGGAGCTGGCGGCTGGAGGACGGTGGGCCCCGCAATTTCTCTTGAGGTCATGGCTGAGCGGGGCGGGGGTGCTGCATAGACTGGGCCTCAGCGAGGGGTCGGCAGCATTTCTAGCAGCTTCCGTGTCTCCCGTCGGCCCCTGGCAGAGCGCCCTCGAGGCTGAAGTGGCTCAGTCCTAAAGGCGGCCAGAAGAGCCAGCCAGGCGCGTCTGAGTGAGGCTCGACCCTCTGCCCCGCGACCTCCCTTCAGCTGCATGGCCCCAAACCTTCTGCCCTGGGGGCCACAGGACACCCAGAGGCCAGTGCCCCAGCCCCTCCCACTGCCGCGGCCTTTGCCAGGCCCAGGCTCAAGGTCCTCCCGGCCACGCTGAGCTGCCGGCCCTCCACACCCTGGGGCGGGCCGAGGGTCCCCCTCCCCTCCCACACAGACGCAGAGCCAGACCCCCGCGGGAGTGGGGCGCTGCTGTGCTGGGGGCGCTCGGGGCTGTCCCCGGCTGCAGGGGCACCTCGGGTCGCCTGCGGGCACTGCCACGGCCCGTGCGCCCCCTCCGCCTCAGTGCCGCGGGGCGTTCGCTGGGTCCCCCACCCCGGACACGGTAGCTGCGCCCAGGACAGCGGCCGGCAGGGTCAGAGCGCGGCGGGCGCCCCGCACAGGCGCAGCTGCACGCTGGCGGTGAAGGAGCGCCGCGGCCGGCCCAGGCTGCAGTGCAGGGTGGTGCGGAAGGAGCCGCGCGCGCGCTTGGGGAAGATGATGGTCGTGCTGCGGAAGAGCAGCGCGCGCGGCCGCGGCTCCAGGGTCAGCTGGCTGCGGAAGCTGCGCCACGTGCAGTTGGGTGCTGCCACGATGGTCTCGCTGTAGCCCGTGACCGTGGGCACCGGCGCATAGAACACCTTGTCCCGGAAGTGCCTCTCGGACGCGTACTTGACCTCGGAGTTGCAGCTGGGACGGAGGAGCGGCTTCCGTGAGCCCGGGACAGGACCCTGGCGCCCACCCACGCCGCACTCCGAGGCCCCTGGGCTCCCCCGACCTTGAAATGTCAAGGTCGGGAAGGGCACAGAAAGCCTGCGGCGTCGACCCAGCTCGGGGCAGACTAAAGAGGCAGAAACCAGTGCGGCGGCGCAGGCCTGCGATCGTCCCTGCGGTGGGAAGCTGCCGAGGGAGGGCCGCCAAGCGCAAGCCCAGCCCGGACAGCTTGGCGATTCAGCAGGACACTATTTCAAAAAAATTTTAAAAAGGGGACCTCCTTTGGGCCCAGACTGGCTTTAAAGCAGGCCAGACGGGACAGTATTGGGGCAGGGGGTGAGATGTGGACCGGAAGAGGATTGGATAGCGGTGTCTTTGGGGCGAAAGGGCAGAATGTCACCAATCTTTTCTCTAATGGGTCCCCCAAAAGAACCGATCTATGTAGAGCCAGTGCGGGAAGCCCGGGCCAGGCCCCGCAGCACGGGGTGACTGGGGTGCTTGGGCTCCTCCTGCTCTTCCTGCAGCTGTGAGACATCAGCGGCCCCGAAAGAGTGGCCCGCGGCGACTGGTGGTGTCCCTGAGCCCCCAGGAAATCAATCAGCGCCTGTCACGGGGCCACATCCCAGGGCTGCCCGGTCCACGCCTGGCACACTGCCCCCGCCCCCACAGCCCACTCACCGGATCTCGTGCGTGGGTTCCGGGTCCACCTCGATGGTCTCCCCGAACACCACCGGCAGCATCCGGGGCCTCATCTCGGCTACCGCGGCGTTGTGCCAGGGGAGAGGGGCCTGCGGGGAGAGGTGCAGATAGCCAGTGAGGTGGGCCTGGGGTCCAGGAACCTCGGCTTCCCCAAGCCCATCTGGCCCCCGCTCCCATCCCTAGCCTGCGCCCTGGTCCCCACACGTCTCTGGGAGGAGACCTGGGAATGGTCTTGGCGACAGCGCTGGCCACACCAAGCCCTGGGAGCCAGCGTCCTGGACAGCATGTCCAGCCCACAGGGTGCTGCCCACAGCAACACCAAGGAGTGCAGGGTCAGAGGTGGCGACAGGGTCAGTCTTGCCCACGTTGTTGATGGCCTACGTCAAGCCATGCCTGAAGCCGTCAATTTTGCCTCAGACCGATTCTGAAAACACAGACGCCCTTGTGCCCATGGCCCAGCCTGAAGCCAATGTGGGGACACTTCTGCTGTCCCCTCTGCTATCCTTCCCTCCTGAAGGACTCTGTACCCCCGACTCCACTTTGGGGCTTCCTTACCCCTCCCCCACCCCAGGGAAATCCCTGTCCGTCTGTCACTGAGGCCTGCAGGGCCCTCACAGTCATCCCCCTTGTCTGAGGTCCCACTTCAAGCACTTGCAGTTACCCATGGTCAACTTTGGCCTGAAAACAATGTAAATTTTAAGTAGTTTTATTTCAGTGTGGTGTTCTGCTTTATTACTAGTTATCCTCTGAGGACGGAGGGGGGAGTGATGAAATGGGGCGCAGGTGTGTGTGGGGACCTGGTAGCCAAGACCGGACAGCCCCACAGATGACCATGAGAACCACAGCGGGCAGGGCAAGGACACCACGGAGACAGCCGGGAGTAGAGACGGGGTCCGGGGCTGAACAGCACCCCGAAGTCACGTCCACCAGAACCTGCGAATGGGTCTCGCGGTGTGGCCATCCTGGACTGGGGGAGGGGCCCGTTCCAATGACCGTGTCCTTACGGCAGAGGACAGGGGACCCCCGGACAGGAAGGGCAGAGAGGGCCAGGGCCTAGGACCGCTCTTGGTCTCGGCTTAAACTCCTCCTCCTCAGCGGCCGAAGCCCTGACAGGCTGTGGCTCCTGGCTCCTCGCTGGAGAAAGGGACAGGGGCAGAGCAGGGAACAGCCGCACAAGGACAGGACCCCGTTCTCAGACAAAGAGGGGTCAACCGTGGCCGTTCCGAGGCCCAGAGGCAACCCCGCGACCTGCAGTGCCTCGCGTGGCTCACTGTCGGGTCCACCCCTCAGTATTTACGGAAACGATTCTCTGTCCAAAGGGCACCTGAGCTGCAGCACCCCAGGGCTCTCCTACAAAAGGGGGCAACATGAAGGCGGCCCCACCCCAGCTGGATCTTGCGCCCCTTGGGCTGCAGCCAGCAGTCAGGTGCGATTCACAGCCTGGGCCAGGCCCGGCCCCACCACACCGTCCCAAGGCTGCCTCGGGCTCATTCCTGGTGGGGGCCTGCTGGGAGGCCTGGGACACCGGCTGGGGCTTCCTGGGGCTCGGGCTCCCACGTAGTCTGGTGTGGGCGCTGCAGGAACAAACAAGCTGGGATCTCCCGGACTCCCTCTTCCTGCCTGCCTGGGTGCCCAGATCCCTCCTGAGCCCCGGAGAGCTTATTTGAGGCTGGGCAGCTGGAAACACCCTGGGCCCGTGGGCGGTGGACCCCCGGGCGGGCAGGGTGCAGAGGCCATGGCCGACCCCACCGGTGACTCATGCGCCTCCCTGGAGCAGGTGAAGGCCTGGCTGGAAGGAAGCCCGAAGGTACACACGGTGCCTGAGGCCACAGCCCGAGGCCCGAAGATAAGGCACGGTAGCGCGAGCCCGGTGCCAGGCGCTGCCGGCCCCGCCTGACTGCAGTTCTGGCCCTGGCAGGGACTCGCGCCAAAGTTGCAGCAGTGTCATGCAGTCCCCCCATCGGTCCTAGACAGAACAAGACGGCCAGGGAGCCCTCTAGCAGGGGACAGCTCCTCTACAAAGCCCGGCGAAGGGACCATCGCAGGCACACAGAACACCCTCCAGACCAGGCGAGGAAGGGCCACCAAGGCAGGGCCTGGGGAGCCAGAGTCGAGCGAGCTGTGTTCTTCAGAGAGGGAGAGGCCAGGTGTCCTCACCTGGCAGAGGACAAGGCCAGGTGAAGCTGGGACGGGGGCTGACCCGACACCTCTACAAGCCAAGGGACCCAAGACAGCCGTGCACCCTTGCGTCCCGACCCCGGGCCTCTGGAACTGTGAGCATGGCCGTCTGCCGACCTATGACCCCGGATGCAGCCCTTGGCCGCAGCCCTGGCAAGCAGGGACAGGCGCCTGCGGGACCTGCTGGACACGAGGACCAGCTCCCCCTCTCCCTGTGCTCCTTCCTGAAGGCCCAGCTCACACGGACGGGGCAGCTCTGAGACAGCGGCCGCTTTCTGTCCCCAGAGAGCCGGCCCTGCCCTTGTAGAGGCCCGACACAGCGACCACCCGGGACAGCCACCACCTAGGGTCAGGGTCCCCAGGGCAGAGCGGCTTCTGGCCCAGCCGGTGGCCCCTTCCTCCCGAGGGTGGCTCCCGCTCGCTCCCTCACTTCAGAGCAGCCGGAGGGCGTGGCCTCTGTCTCCTCACCGTCCAGCCACGGAGGAAGCTGCGAGCCGCGCACACAGCTGGGGCAGAGACCATGGGAGGCGCAGGGGCCCTGCGCACAGCGAGCTGCTCTCCCCACCGCCTCCCTCCCCGCAACGGCTGCTCCGCCCTGGCCGCCCAGTGTGGGCACCACGCACGAGCGCTAACACCTGCACGTGAACCTGCCGGGGCGTGGCCGAGCCCGTCTTCTTCATCTGTTCGTCCGTCTGTCTGTGTCCCCACCTATCTATCCATCCACCCATCTGCCCATCCACTATTTGTCCGTTTGTCCATCCATCCATTCATCCACTGTCTGTCCATCCACCTGTCCAACCATCCATCCATCCATCCATCTACTCTGTCCATCCATCCATCCATCCACTCTGCCCATCCATATCCATCCATCTATCCATCCGCCCATCTATCCATCCATCAGCTTGTCTGTCCACACAGCCACCTGTCCATTCGTCTGTTCATTTGCCCGCCTACCACCTGTCAATTTGTCCATCCATCTGTGCACCCGTCTGTGCACCTGTCCATCCCTCTGTTCTTTTCCCTCCATCCGCCTGTCTGTCCATCTCTTCATCCACCTGTCTGCCTGTCCGTCTGTCCTTCCCCAGCCCCGGCACTCACTCCCGAGCTCCTGTGGTCTCCTCTCTTGTTCTCGGCTTCCCCCTCGCAGACCAGAAACAGAAATGAGAAGACCCCGGCGTCCTGGGGTGACGGCCCAGCCCTGAGCAGCCACAGCATGGTCAGGAACGGCCACGGCGCTGCTCACCGCCACCGTCCTCCACCGTCCTCCAGATGCCACCCAGCAGGGCTCCCAACCAGCGGGGCGGAAGTGACAGCAGGGCCGGGAGCCAGGAGCAACGCACTGCTGCACGGAGATGGTGACAGCGCCCGCCCCCTCCGTTGTTACACACCCCCCCTCGCCCTCCCTGGGGCTGTTCTAAGCAACACAGAGAACGCCACGCCAGGTGCCAGTGCCCCTTGGCCTCCATGGGTCAGGGAAGTGGGACGGGCACCGCTCACGTCAGCAGGGAGAGGCACAGCCCCTGCGTGCGCACCTAATGCCCACAGCTCTGCGGGCAGGACGGAGGGGCGGGGAAGGACGCTGGCCATCACTCTGCTGTGACAGAACTGCCGCGAGTTCTCTCCTGCCTCATCTGCAGATGCCCTTGCCCGGCTCACTGCCCACACAGACAGGGCCCTCAAGACACAAAAGGCCACTTTCCGCCCGCCTCGCCCGCCTGGCTCCAGCCGCACGCTCTGCTTGCTTCCTGCCCCAGGCCCTCTGCACTGCCCTTTCAGCCCGAGCCACACTTCAGCCCTGCAAGCCTGTCCGCCCGGTTACGCACAGGTTTCTGCTGAGCATCACTTCCTGGGCCACCTGTCCAAAGCAGCTGCCCCTCCCCACCTCCCCCCCAGCTTCCCGTCAGAGGGGTGCTTGTGGCCCTGCCCGACGGCGCTTCGTGGATACAAGTTGGTGGATACAAGTTGGTGGATATACATTTACTGCTGTGTGCCCTGGCCCCAGGCTGTGTGTGGCACGTGGTAGGTCTCTGTGTGGCGTGGCATTATCGGGGACACTCCTGCCTTTGCGCCCACAGTGAACCGGAAAACCCACGGCCGGGTGGGGGAGGGGGCCCATCTGTCCCTGCCCTGGTCCCTGTCCCCTGCCTCTTCTATATGGAGACCCCTTGTCCTTGGGAAACTGTCCTGAGGCTTCTTAGAGTGGGGGCTCCGAGGAGGAGAGGCACGTGCTAATCCAGCAGTCAGGGCCAGGATCGTGCCGGGGGCGACAGATGCTGAGGACCTGGGTGGCTGGGGGTGGGGGACAGGACTGCACCCGCACCCCTGGTTGAGATGGCGCCACTAATTCAGATGAGGCGGTGTCAGTAACCAGGCGTCCACCCTGGATGGAATGACACAGCAAAGGGGCGACGCCAAGGAAACCTGGCCCGGATACTTCCGGAGCACTTGAAACCGTCAGGCCCAAGGTCCCCGAGATTGGGCGCTGTGAACCCCAGACCGGCAACACTTAGCTGTCACAGCGGGGAGGGCAGTACCCTGGGGTTGGTCAGGGGGTGGTGAGCCCAGCTACGCCTGGGGGTTGCCGTGGCAACCACTTGCTCTCTTTATTGATGGTAGCATCTCAAGCTCCATAGGTACCTACCCATTTTGTTATTTTTATTAAATTTTTTGAAAAAAAGTAATCAGCTATACAGTGCAAGGCTGGAGAATGTCAGGTTTGAGGGCAAATTCTGGAGCCAGTGTCCCCGGGTGCTGTGCCGGCACGGCCACCTACCCACTGCTGTCGCAGCTTTGAGCAAGTTGCTAACCTTCTCTGTGCCTCAGTTTTCCTCCTCCGGAAAGTGGGGATAAAGGAGCACAGACTGTCAAGGGCATACGGTGAACACTAAATGAGAAGACGAGAGGAAAGCTCAGGCCTGCTCCCGGCGTGGAGGACGGCTCGGGGTGCCGGGTGGTACGTCACCTGCGCAGAAGGGGCCCAGCTTCCCTTCCAGGGCGGCCCAGTTCCACAGCCAGCATGTATGAAAGAGGAAGAGAAAAACCAAGCACCACAGCTCGGCCAAGACGAGCAGGCCTGACACGCCGTTGCGGCGGCCGCCACTGCTGGCCTGGCAGTCGGCGAGGCACCCCGCACACGCGGCGGAGGAGCCCTGGGGCAGGCGGACGAGGAGGACACCCAGACAGCCCCTCGTCCCCCTGCTCGGAGCCCTGGCGGCGGCCAGCGACACCAGCCACACATGCAGCTCCGCTTCCCCTGAGGGGCTGGGCCAAGTCTGGGTCACCGCTGCAGGAAACTGGCCCCCTCGGACCACGAGAGCAGACCACTGCACACAGCCCCGGTCACCCCGGGACCCCTGCCAGCCCCCAGCGGCCCGGCGGCGCCCCAACCCTCCCGAAGGAGAGGCCAAGTTCAAGTTCACTGCAGGAATTTGGTGGAAGATAGCGGTTTCCCAACTCCACTGCGCACTCAAAGCACCTGGGGAGATTCGTTAACTCTCGACGCCCGGTTATGCCCGGCATCCACACAGTGAAGACACACGGGCACGGGGGAAGCATGGGTCCTCCTCCGGGGCTCCCCACATGCCTCCCATGGGCAGCAAAGTCGAGGACTCACTGTACTAGGGTGCTAGGGAGGTCCACGTGGGAAAACACCCCTGGGATCGGCAATGACCGCCACCTCTTTCAGCCTGACATTTCCCCAAGTCATTTCCCGTGCCCCCGCCACGCCGTCCCGTCCAGCTGCCCAGCTGGGTCCCCGCCTGGGCCCACGCAGGACTCAGCGGCACCCGCAGGAGGCCCCTCTCCTGGCTCCCCACGGGGGCTGCAGCCGCCCCAGCACCGCCGCAGGCTCCACGTCGACAGCCCTCCGGCCGGGAAGGAAGGGTTACCGTCTGCCTTAGTTTAGGAAAGTTTCACAGTGGCAGCAGGGACAGCAAATGGGACCACTGGGCAGCAGGGGAACCTGGGGACAGAGGTCCACAGCACGCTCGATCTCTGCCTCCAGCCGCCTGGGGCAGGCGGCCCCTGTGGGGATCGCAGGCGCTACTCCCCACCCCCACCCAGCCCCCTGAACCCCTGAGCCCTAACAGTGGCTCCTTAGAGAAGCCCACCGCGGGAGAGGGCTCTTCGGGTGCCCAGGTCCGCTGGGGCGGTCCCCACCTGGGGAGGGGCTGTAGATGGCCACCTCCACCTGGGGGCGCAGGGAGCGCAGCCCTCGCGGCTGCCACTGCCCCCACCCCCGTTTCTGCAGGAGGGGGTGCATCCTTACCGCTCTGTCCTCTGCCGGTCCGGGGGGCTCCGGCGCGGCACCGGCGCCCCCCACCTGTGCACTGTCGAGGATGCCAGGCGCCTGGGCGTCGAAGGGCGGGCTGGGGCTGGGGCTGGGGGGCAGCCCGGAGTCGGGGCTGTCCAGCTGGCCCTCGCGGCTGTGCTCCTTCAGGCTGCCCATGCCCTGCAGATGCAGGTGGCCCACCATGTCTGGGGGCGCGGGGCGCGGGCGCCCAGCTCCGGGGGGGCTCCTGCACCTCACTCGGCCGCAGCGGAGAGCGGGTCGGGCCTGCGCCCGCACCCTGCGCCCCAGCCTGGCCCGGTCTCACCCCGCTGCCCGCACCCCCGCCAGCACCTCCTTTTCTAGGCGCCGCCCCCTCCCCTGTCCCCGCCCCGGCGCCGCCCACGTGCGTCCCCGCCCCGGAATGGGACCGACCCTGCGCGCCTCATCTGCGGGTCTGCAAGCTCCGGCGGGCTCTGAAGCCGCGCGGAGACCCTCAGCGCCGTCCTGGCTGAGGGTCTGTAACTCACCGTCGCGGACGAGGTGTTTAAATGCGCCCGCCCCTTTGTTTACAGTCGCGGCGCGAACCTCGCGGATCCCGCCCCTAGCTTGTGCCTGGATTATGCGGATGCCAGGCCACCACGCGAGCTTCCGGTGGAGAGTTTAGGGGGCGGCTGGTGTGGGGCTCTCCCTTCGGTTCCCCGAGCTGCCTTGCCCGTGGCCGAGGGCCTTGCTGTCTTGTTCCTCGCTTCCTTCTGCCCACGACACCCTGCCGCGCGTCCCTTCCGCCTGGCAGGGGGTCCCCGCGGTACGGGGCCGCCCACCGGAGCCCCTCCCCCGCCCAGCTTTCCGCCTGAGGGCAGGAAATTGGGGGACCTGCAGGTGTCGGGGGCCAGCAGGGCGCGGACAGCTAATGCAGAGGAGGTGACCGGGACGGTCACACTGTTTCCACCACCCGTCTGTGGCAGAGCTGGGGGCCGCAGACAGGGTCTGGGAAGAGGACCGCTGGACGCCCCCATCCCTAGGGCTATGCTTGGACTCGGGTTCCAGTCCAGGGCCACTAAGTCCCTTGTGCACTGGCCAGGCCTGAGGCAGGCTTCCGGCTGCCTGCCCTGCCCTCCAGGGGCACCCGCTGGAGGAGACCCGTTGGGTACCAGGCCACGGGGCTGGGAGAGGAGGACCTTGAGCCAGGCCAGCTGGACATCACCAGGGGACAGCGACTTCCACAGGACCAGGCAAGAACAGAGATCAGATGCCACGCGGAGCCGGGCCGAGCTGCATCCCTCTGGGACCTTCTGGAGGAGGAGGCCGGCTCAGCTGGCTTCCTTTCTGGGCCCCTGGGCCACTGGACCGGAAGTGGGCGGCTGAGTTACCACCCGCTCCCAGGACAAAAGTGAGGGCCCTGCTTTCCAGATGTGGGTCGATTGAGCGTCAACCTCTCACGCCCACCTGGCCGCCCAAAGTGGTGAGGCCACCTTGCACCAGGGGACAGTGGGCAGGGACAGCCCTCGAGGGCTACTGGGCCAGGGACCCCCGGGGTCAGGGTCAGGGTCTTCCTGGCGTTGTGTGAAATGTTGGTAATTTGTTCCTTTTGACCTGCGTACCTTCATTTTGACTTTGAAATGCTGCAAGAAAAGTTGTCCTGACTCCCTGTCATGAATTCCATGCTCCGGGCAAGCAGCTCTCCCGCCCCATCCAGGCTGGCCCGTGCCCTCCACGCCACTCGCAGAAGAGCCTTCGTGGTGGTGCCCGCTTGGGTCCAGAAGCTCCTCCGGGAACTGGCACCTGTGTGTCCAAGCAGCAGGAAAAGCATGACTTTGTAAATGTCAGCTGCCAGCCTGTGGCCCCCAGTGACCTCTGACCTATTGGGACCGGTTGCTGTGGACCAAGGGCTGCCCATGGATTGAGAAAAGCTGGTTCTGTAGAAGCTTCTCGTTCTCATGGTGCCCGCAGCCCGCAAATGTCAAAGGGGCGGAAAATGCAGAACTTTCCATAAACTTCCTTGGGCACACACTGGCAGGGGACAGGAGGAAGGGAGGCCGGGAGCTCTGGGACCTTCCAGATCTGAGCGCCCAGCCCGGCCACCACAAGCTGGAGCCACAGGAGGCAGGTGCCGGGGTGCCCGTGGGGCACAGGGCCGCGTGATCCGAGCCCTGCTGTGCCTGGTGGCAGAAGGCAGAGTTCAGAGGCGGAGAGACGGGGGCAGAGAGGAGGGACTGCCCCGACCCGTGTCCCGCACCGGGCAGAAGACACTGATGGCCCGCCGGCCCCGCGAAGGGGCACGTTCACCGAGTGTGTGAGCTCACCTGCTTTCACCAGCTCCTGGTAAGGACAAAGGACAGTGTCCAGGGTGACCCAAGCCCAGCACCCCGGCATGGGGATTTCCCAGGCTGCTTTGGGGGTGAGGGCTGTGTGCTCAGCTCTTCAAAAGAGAAAGGTCAGAGGGTGACGGAGGGGCGCGCAGAGAAAGGGCTTTTCATGGACAGCCTTTAGCCGCTGTTCCGGGCAGCACTGAAGTGGCCCTCCTGGAAGCGGTCGGGCCTCTGTGGACAACTCCGGCGGTCCCTGCGTGGGACCCCTGCCTTGAACCTGGCGAAGTATCCTGATGCACAAAGTAGAAGCCCCGTGTTTCCACTTTAAAAAGCAGATGGTGCCCCAGAGATCGGAGAGGTTAAGTGACCGGGCTGAGGTCACACAGCCCTGGAAGCCAGGCTGCCAGGAGAGATGTGGGCCGTCCAGGAGCAGGCACGGGGGCAGAAAGACGAGTTCCAGGGCCCGACCGCAAGGCCTTTCTGTGACCCGCAGAGCTGCATCTGGAGAGGGCGCCAGGGACCCCAGGCCCAGGCTGAGTTCAGAGCTCAGGTGATTCGGTGACAGCTCACAGGTCCCTTTCTGATCCGGCCACTGTG